TGTAATAGCAGTTCCTTACATGTTATTGTCTTCTGAAGATGGTCACAACTGACCGAAACATGTAAAGGCATTATATAAATATATACTGAGTCACACTGGACGGTGTTATGAAATCATTTTATAACAGAAAATCGCATATGTATAGCAATAATGCACACAACGCAACTGCGTCAAATGGATAATGGTTAGCAAACATCCTCCCCCCCCCACAAAATGAACCCATTCATTGGTCTCCTGAATACAAATAACATAACACAGCATTGCATTTCCAAATAGCCAGCCATAGAATTCCTTGAAAGTGACAAATGGGAACATGTATTTAGATCAGAGAAGCAGAAAGATCAAAACTGTGGCTCCAAAATATTTCATATTATTTTATATTTCTGGAGACTGAAAGCCCAATAACAGTAAACATATTATCAACATGGTCTATTACCTCCCTCCCTTTCCATATACACACTGCACACTGCTTCAAAGTTATGTACAACTACAGTTCTGGAACAGAATGTGTATTCACATTACCTGATTGGAGCAACCTGTGTAACTTACACAGGAAAAAGCACAATTGTGAACTCTGTAAAAATGACTGATTCATGCCTTTAGAACTTCAAACAAATTACACTAAATGTATAAAATCTGGATATCGTATTACCTAATGTAAGCGAAGAGAATTAACCAATATTTACAACCATAAACAACTGGTTTTCTAAATGTTAACTCATGAATGATTCAAATTTTGCTGAATATGAAATATTAATATAATTTATATCAAATACTAGGGTAAACTTTACTTATTAAACTACTTGTACATCTGAAAAAAAGAATGGCATATATACACGTATCTGAAATAACATTATATTCTCCAAATGAACATATGAAATAATCAGATACAATTTCCTGCTTTCATGATAAGAGTGTACAATGAATCCCTTTTTCAGGTGTGTCCTAGACTATTCCTTTTTAAATACCTTTCCATTATATGTATATGGTTTCATCTGAGAGTGAATATTTCATGAGTTCAGCAACAAATACTTATTACACCCATACTGGCGAATAATTCATTCTTTATTTCACAAATTTTGGATTGAAATTTTATGAGATTTGAATTTTGTCAATGTCTTTACTTCTGTCACTATAGTACAACAAAAAATATTTATCCATTTCCTATTTATGTGCATTTTACACGGACCGAACAAAAATTCAAGACTAAAGAAAACCTGAATGACTCATAACTGTTAAATTAAGTTCATGCTAAAAAGAAACAAGGAGTTCTGGTAAGAACTAATCACCTATCTTCCTTTCCCTGTAATTTGAGTATCTGATATGACGGGAAGAAATATGCATAATGTCAATAAAACAATACAATCTGGGAGGCTTCGGTGTTGGTATTACAGAAGAAATGGATTCATGAGGTACACCACTGAGATGGCATGATGTACCAAGTTACATGATGATCAGTTCATGAATTCAAGTCATATTAAGATTATATCAACAGGCTATATATTTGGTATTACTGATGGGAGGCCTTTCTTAAGTATGTCATCGAGATGGCCTCAGGTGGCATGATATACGTACCAAGTTCCACGAAGAATGGTCTGGGCATTCAAGTAATACTAAAGTCATTTCCTTGACAATCTCAGAGGCTGTGGCACTGGTATTGCTAACAGGAATGATCTATGATGTTTGCCACTGAGACGACCTCAGATGGCATTACACATACATACAAAGTCTCATGACAACTGGTTCAGGCATTCACATATTATGAAAGGTGTCAGCTCAACAATTTTAGAGGCTACCGTGTTGGTACCACTCATGAGAGGGATTTATGATGTACACCACTGTGATGGCCAGATCACATGATATACTTACTAAGTTTCATGAAATTGGTATAGGCATCCAAGCAATATTAAGGTTTTGCCTCAGAAATCTGAGACGCTGTAATTATGGTATTATTGATGGGAGGGATTTATGCTGTATGATGCCGAGATGCCTTCATGCGAAAGCATATACTTAAGAAGTTACATGAAGATTGGTACAGGTGTTCAAGCAATTTAAAGGTTCTGCCTCAGTGATTCAAATGGATGTAATGTTGGTATTACTGATAGAAAGGAATTACTAAGTGCACCATCCAGATGGGCTCAGGTGGCATGATATACATGCAAAGTGTCATGAAGATTGGTACAGGTGTTAGAGGAATATTAAGGTTTTGCCTCAGCAATTTAAAGGCTGTAATGTCTGTATTACGGACAGGAAGAATTTATGATATATGTCGTTGAAATGGGTACAGGAGGCATGATATACGTACCAAGTTTCATGATGACTGGTTCAGACATTTAGGTAACATTACTGTTAGCATTGAAAAAATGTCGGAGGATGTAATTTTGGTACTACTGATCACAAGGATTTATGGATTACACAGTTGAGATGGCATCATGTGACATGGTACACATATCAAGTTTCATGAACACTGGTGCAGGCATATAAGAAATAGTAAGGTTTTGCCTCAGGCCGCGCCATAGCTCAAGAGGTTAGTCGCTGGCTTGATCCCGGGTCTGGTCAAGTGGGATTTGTGGTGGACAAAGTGGCGCTGGGGCAGGTTTCCTCAGAGTACTTCGGTTTCCCCTGTCAATCTTCATTCCACCAACTGCTCCACAATCATCCTCACCTATCACCTGGGGCTGGTACAATAGGCCAGAAGTGGCCGCAGTACAAGGGACTTAGTCCCACCCCACTAGCAATTAAAAAAAAAAGGTTTTGCCTCAGAAATCTGAGAAGCTGTAATGCAAGGTATTAGGGAGGGTTTCATGCATTATGCTGTTGAGATGGGGCCAGGTGTGTAATATACGTACATGCCAAGTTTCATATAGATTGGTTCAGAAATTCAAAAGTTAACTGAAGGAGGACTACAAATACAGACACACACCGATTGGAAGGTGATCTCAGAAGTCTAAGTTTTTCAAAATAAGGAAATTATGCTAAATATGTTTAAAGAATATAAACCAAATTCTCATTACTTTACAATATAAGTAAATATTGAACCACAAGGGGACCAGTATTCCTGACTTTTTACAAAGTTTTGCCTTTCTCAGGAATGTGGTGAGGGATCGGAAATGTGCAGAAAATCAGACTTCACCAAACATAGCACAAATGCTGCTAGAAGATTATAGAAAACAGCAACAAAGAGAATGAACTACATTAATGATTCAGTGGTTCCTCTATGACAATCTGTGATATATGAACCCAGTACAAAGCATTACTGGAACTTCACGCTTCAAAGTAATGTCTCTACATAGCTAAACCAGGATAATGGTCTAAATTTGAGGAGACACAATTTGGAAAATGATTTATAACTATGATTACTAAATAACTGATTGCACTGTTACGTAGCAAAGGTACTTGGTATACCTTACACAAATAGCATTGAAAACTCTAGAAATATACATATAACACACCTCAGAGCCTACTCTCCAAGTACTTTCCATAGAGATTAAGCATAACACAACATGCCCTCATCATATAAAGTTTGAGGAAATCTGATATACACAATGGGGACACTGCTGATGGTTTCAGGAGAAAAAGTCTTTATCAGGGAAATATATGGCATATTTTTCCTTCACATTAATGTAAAAATAATTTCATAAATGTAAGCACAATAGTAGACCAAAGCTGGAATTTCATTATTTGAATATGCCTAAGAAGAATATGTTGACTTTTCATTACTTCTGTAACCTTCTGGGGTCCTTAGATCTGGTCAATAAAAACATGTTCCACATGTTTTGACATATAGTTTAAATGTCTGTGGGAAAACCAATTAAAAATAGGTCAATACAATATGTAAATGTGAGGATACTGTTAACAAGAATATGTAGGAAATCTAACATGTTGTTCAGCAATAATCCCTCGCCAACTGCAGACTTCAAGTGTTTACAGTTTCACATTTACTAACCATGGTAACTGATTTTATCTTAAGTTTCTATCAATGTACAAATTTGGAGAGGAGGGGATTATAGGTGATCCACAACTGCTAGGGTCAGGGTTACAGTGGCATCCAAAACCACTTTTCATGCATGATGATTATTATACAGACTGTCCAAGGAGGAAAGGTCAATATTCTGGGAGGTCACAGTATCAGTCATTCTAAGCAAAAAAGTCTGTATGTACAGGTGTCCTAAACCAAATGGTTTCTGAGATGGAGCTATTTCACTGTACAGTTCCAAAATTGTCAATAAGAGAAATTATGTACTGTTTCTATTTAATGTTCAAGTGAAAAAAGTTGGTAGAGTTTACCTAGTATAATACACTTTCAAAAATTCCACCATCAATATCATTGCACTTTGCAACTCATGTGAGGGCATGGCATGCTGCTCATCTATACAGTGTGCATACACATACACGCACGCACGTGTTTGCTTAGAATGACTGATATTATTTTTTTTCCCATTGGTGCTACAGCCCTCATTTGGGCCTAGGCCTACCTTCATGAAACTCTCCGTTTCACTTCAGTTTACTAGATCTTACACATACGGTAGGATTCCTTGGACGAGTGATCAGCTCGTCGCAAGGCCTCTACCTGTAGACAAACGCAGAAAAACGCACACAAACATCCATGCCCTGAGTGGGATTCGAACCCATGATCCCGGCTTCCGAGCGAGCGAAGACAGTGCATGCCTTAGACTGCTCGGCTACCGTGACCGGCGACTGATATTATTACCTCTCAGAATATTGACCTTTCCTCCTGGAACACCATGTATATCTATTGTCCTTATAATTTGTATGGTGATTTAGTCTGGTTGGTCTGTAGACCTGTTTTTAGAAGAACTCTAGGAACAAGTGTCTGATGAATGTTAGTCACAGCCATAGTTCTAACCCCAAATTCCCATTACAGCCTGGTCTCACCAGGCAGTGTTTTCAAGAACAAACCACTCACTGCTGCTGAAAGACTGCTGTGTAGTGGATTTAAATGACCAGACTGCAACCAACAGCAGCATGTTAAATAAAAATTTTTACTGTGTTATGTCAGGGAGTTATTTAAGCACCAGTAGTTGTTATATAATATGGAATATCTAACAGTGGATTTTCATATATAAACATTTGTGTTCACGTTATCTTTCTTCTACATAAGAAAGCAAACGGCAAATTGATTAGAATTCAAAACTATACGCAGATAATGTGGAACAGCTGAAAAGCCAAGTTTATAAATAGAGGAACATACACCAAAAAAAAACCAAGAATGGTAAGATTGCAGGACTGGTCCTCCATATGTGACTATAAATTAACAATACAACTTGAGTAACATAGTCTGAAACTAATAACTAAAGAAAGTTCCACACTTTGAGTATCAGAGGATTCCAGAGTTAAAATTCAGTTCTCCATTTAATCATGATCATTCATATTATTTGCCTTTCTCAGTGTTATTTCTGAGTCTAAAATAAGCAATTTACATATGTAATACATGAAAAGAAAAGACACCATATACATTCCAATCATATGTAGCACTACACAGACCACAGGAGTTCTGAATCATGCATGCAATAAACAACCAAAATTATATTTACCATTTTCCTAATTGATATGGCAACTGAATAAGCTGCAGTAGTTGTGTCATTACTTATTAAGTTGTCTGCAATGAGATTATTAATACTGCACTTACCCTGTAAGAACATTACAAATGAATTGGAAAAGTATACAGACAAGTGAAAACAATGAGGTTGCATTCCTTTCCCGGCTACTTACCAGATCTGAATAGTACCATCATATTAAAAAGCATTAGGTAACAAAATGTCTTTGGAAACAATGAATAATTTAATGCATCTGGTAGGTCTCTAAACCATATTTCTCTGGGAATTCAGGATACAGGGATACTATCCAAGAGTACACAGCACACTATAGCCCCACAGTCAGTCAAGCCTGTAAAGGGAACACAATTTGAATTCCACTTTGGAAAATGAACAATTTCTAGGCACTACACACCTTACTAAATTTCAACATTATCAAAATATAAACTCAAAGAGCATAAAGGTCCCTTCTATGACCTCCAGATACAACGGTTTCTATTTATACATCCCCACACTACTGTAATGAAAGTGTACGTATAACAGCAACTAGTTAAATTTCTGTGGTATATATTAAAGGGAACAAAATAATGATAATCTTCCCACATGCAAACTTACAAACTAACACAAAATGTATGCTAACTATTGGCAAAAATTTTGAAAATGTTTCTAAATAAACATCAAGAGATCCCTCTCTATAACAATTGTAAGATGCCTCTCTACACCATAACAACAAATATAAGAGTCCTGTAATATCCTTCCTAGTGACTAACAAAGCATAAAAAAAAATCAGTAAAGGCATTCTCAAATATTACATTCATGAAACAAGTCAATAAAAATGGCTTCCTGATCAGATTCCATATCTAGAGATTTGTAATGTCATCTAACCTGTCAACCCTGTAAATCCTGAAAAGAGAGAGTTCACATACCATTATATTAGTTGATTACGGTTGATCAGGCTCCGCTTCTTGAGTTCACGTCATCGTGCAGCCCTTTAAATGGGTGCCCAAGTCATCCGTCTTCTTACTAAATGGTAGGTCATTATTCATCCTTGAGTCAACTGACATGTTGAAACCAATTACTGTGTAGTGAACTAAATAAGTTTCTCTATATTACTTCCGAGCTTCTGTTCACGAAAGATGTCAAAGGCTTTTATCACCAACACTAAGGATGGAACAGAATCTCTCTTGTCGTTGTCCAGTTTCAAGATACTCACATTTACAGTTTCACATGAATCAAAATGTTGTATAAACACTGATATCTGAATGAAATCATTTGACAGTATTGAAGAGAGCACAAAATCCTTTCACAATGCCATAAACAGTAGATAAGTATATCATCCAGGCAAAAGAACCAAGAAATACAGGCTAATTAATATGCAAAAACAATTCAAAATCAAGGAAATTCATTTTAATACATCTACAGACTTTTGTGTAACAAATTTGTAAAAAAATTAAAGAAGCAGTATTCAAATTTGTCAAAGACTTACTGCATTTCCGTTTTGCAGTGTGCGTTGGTGTGTGTGTTCACATACATAATATGTGGAATAAACAACTATGACACTCAACAGAAAATTACAGTCTGATATGGCATACATACATATCATCAGCACATTATGTGTAATTCATAATTTACCCCACCACTTCCACTATCTCAAATATCATACACACACAAAAACAATTCTGTATTTTTTATTCACATTTCACTTGTAAGCTTCTAGTAACTGGATAAATCTATAAGCATTATGAGCAGAAATTATGGTGCTTGAGGACATGAGTGTGGTAACAGGCATGGGTTCTCCCCGCTAAATACATATTTGCCAGTATTCTTATACTCAGTTTTAGCCTACAAGTCAAAATACTTAATGCACCAGCTGAAGTGCATCTCCCAACTTTTCACAAAGTTGCCAGTATGCATCAACTATATGCTGATATGCCTACTGGCTGAAAATAAAGGAAACACTGATAACAGGTACAGTAACCAAAAGTGTTCTGCTGAATGACCCTGATGAAGTACATCATGGTTTATGTTCCCAAATTTCTATTACTCACATAACCTGAAATCTCATAAAATCAGACAACTATGAACATATAACGTGAAGACCAGGGCATAGTTACTTCCCATTCTCCAGTTACACACCACAATATGGAAAACTACTAAGTACACTTACAAGAAAATGTCACAGAAATTTCTACACACCCCATGTAACTATGAACAGACATACATCCTAAAACCAAGATAACACTGTGAAAGAATATTATAGCATAATGTCTTTTCTGTTGCCAGGTATTCAATAGCGTATATCAGGATCATGTGGCATCATGGGTGGGTTGCCTACTTGTCGGAAGACCATGGAACTCTGATGCTGGATTGGCTGCATCCCAAGGCCAGCTCCTGGATTTCCACTTCCTCGAAGTAAAGGGAACTGATTGTGATGCAAACCATAGAAGTTCTGATCCATATGTGGGGTACTTCCGATGTCAGGATTCCCAAACTTTGGAAAACTGGCAGCAGTACTACCAAACATAGATTCCGCGTTTGAGGAAGTCGGCTGCATTGGACTGTTGGGTCCCATTCCTCCAAATGTATTGGAACAGCTTCTCCCAAACTCTCTTGAACCCCCAGATGAAGTGAATGGCTGTGATGCTTGATGAGGTGGCAGCGCAGAATATTCCGGAAAATCACAATTCCTCAGGGATGATGATTGCTGCCATGGCATCTGTGGTGCAGGTGCAGGCGGCTGTACTTCTAGGTCACTTCTTCCCTTCAGAATTCCTTTTGGATGCACACTTCTCTGGGAAATAGCCGATGACACTGCACTTTCCATATCACTCCTACCACTAGAATAATGTGAAAATGAACTCTGCCCATGGCTGCTTACACAAACTTGGTATGGAGGTTTATAAAAACTGTCTCTACCTCTGTGACCACCTTCATTATTTGATGATGCAGGAAAACCACTTTGCTCTGGAGCTTGCTGTCTGGACTCAGCTGCAGCTTCTTGGTTTCTGTACTCCTTCAAAGCAACTGTAGGTGTGATGTCAGAGAAGGAACCTTGGGTCTTGCTTGGATTAGAATGAGGAGAACTACGTTTATACACTGCAGTAGCATCACTTTTCACATCATCCCCTACGTTCACTGCATGCAGTTTATGAGAACGTTCCTTTTGAGCAACCCACTTACGCAGACGCCGAAGTTTAACGATCTGTACTTGTATCCCCACATGTTTAACTTGTTTGCGTGGGGTTTGTGTTGAATTCCAAACCATAATTTTATCACTGATATCCAGATTTGGTGGTGTCTGGGTCGAATTCCAAACCATAATCCTATTCATACGTTCTAAACAGGAGACACACTTCTGTCTCTTTGATCCTTTCTTTTCATTATCACGAGAATCAGCCCTTGTTGAAGCATCTACACACAATTCTGAATTATCTGTAGAGCGTCCAAATGGTGCACCACGAGTTTCTGGCTCTCCTTTCACAGAGACGGTGTTGCCCTTCTTCGGAAGATGGCGCAATGGTTTTGACGTGACATCATCATGGACTGGTGGAGTTGTAAAACTGAGCTGAGGATCTGGTGTCCGTAGAATGGGCGACCGGAACTTGGCATCCTCTAACGAAGCCTGCATAACTGCTTCAGCTGATGAATGTGGCTTTGAAGATTCTTGCAGAACAAGATGACCAGGAGACACCAAAATCACCCGATCATTTTCTTCGTATGTATGAATAGCTTCTTCACAACGGGCCACCAGCACCGGATCAACTGACATCGCCTTCCTTTCAGCTGAACCACCAACTGGAATTGTGTATGCAGCAGTGGAACATGATACAATGTAACACAGTTGTAAGAGAGAAATATAAAACTGGCCACACCAAAGCAAAAGGCCTAGAAGGCCAATGGGGATGTGGATATGAACCTCAACATACTGTTGAACTCAGAACCAGATGGAGCAGAACAACTGGGTAACTAATTCTCTGGCAACCTGGGGAAAGAGTTCCTAGTGCAAATAGAATAGGAGGTTCAGAGCGCTCAAGAACCATGTTGAACACAGCGGTAAAAATATAAATAGCAAAACCCCTGTCAGGATTTGAACCATGAACATTCTCTGAAGCCCATCACTATATACACTCAAGTGCCAAAAGTCTTGGGACAGCAGTATGTAAATTTATTTTAAGTGGCGCCACCGTCCCTTGACGGCTTGGTAAGGCCCAGAGCAGCATCAGTTGTGAGGTGTTCTCTCATGAGTCAGGCTGAACACCGGCCAATCTGCTCATGGCAAGCCGACGTGAATTATCGGAGTTTGAACGGGGCATGATAGTGGGTGCCAGGAGGATGGGACATTCCATTTCCGAAGTTGTGCGGTCATTCAACATTCCTCAATCCACAGTGTCACGTGTGTACAGGGAATACCTTGTGGAAGGCATTTCCACCCACCGTGGACAGCAGTGGCCAACCACTGGGGCTCAATGTTCATGACCAGCGGTGTCTAGCTAGAATTGTCCGTGGTAACAGACAAGTGACACTGGCTGAAATCACATCCACATTCAATGCAGGAGGTACCAGACGCACATCCAGCAGGTGAGTGCAGCGTTCTTTAGCTTCCATGGGATATGGGAGCAGAAGACCGACTAGAGTGCCTCTGTTAACACCGCATCGGACACAGCGCCTCACCTGGGCTTGTGACATTGCTAATTGGACCCTGGAGGATTGGCAACATGTGGCGTGGTCTGATGAGTCATGGTACCAGTTGTTTTGGGCGGATGGTAGGGTTCGGGTGTGGCACAGACCCCAGTTGTCAACAAGGCACCGTGCAGACTGGTGGTGGTTCCATACTGGTGTGGGGTGTGTTCACGTGGCATGAGTTGGGTCCGTTCAGCCACCTAAACACATCACTGACCGGTGACCGCTACGTTACACTGCTTGGTGACCATTTGCAGCCCTTCATGGACTTCATGTACCCCCACAACGATGGGATATTCCAGCAGGACAATGCACCGTGTCATTGGGCTGGAGCTGTCCACAATTGGTTTGAGGAGCATTCTGGAGGGTTCCATTGAATGGTGTGGCCACCACGTTCGCCCAACATGAACCCAATCAAGCATTTATGGGACGTGGTGGAGAGGTCCATTTGCACCCAAAATCCTGCACCTACAAATACCAGGGAGCTGTGGGGGGCTATCCAGACGGCAAGAATCAACAACTCTCCAGAGGTATTCCGTCCACTTGTGGAATCGATGCCACGTCGAGTTGCTGCATTTCGCCAGGCTAGAGGGGGTCCTACACGATACTAGGTACCTATCCCATGACTTTTGGCACTTCAGTGTAAGTATCCTGGCTTCTCTGTGATGAGTATGAACTTAGAACAAATATATCCTTTAAAATGTCATGATATATAATACAAAGATGTTAATTTACAACAAACAAATTGTGCCAGTAATTTCAAAACTAATGGTAATTTTAAAATACATTTCAATAACCTTTCGTAATATGTCACTGTCTACAGATGTTGCACAATTATTCTTCCAATGAGTGAGGAGGGACGGAGAGGGCACAACTACACAAAAACATTTCTCTTACGTATCTTACATATGACAGGCACCTGCACATCAGTTTCTGCAATCATTTAATAATGTTCCAAATGTGAATTTACACAGTCAATATGAATGGACAGTTGTCACCCTTTCTGCCAGCGAAGTAAATGAACCTGTGAGGCAGGTTCTGCTAGGCCCAATATAATACAATCTGACACAGAGAGATCATACAGTATGCTCCTGAATATCAATGCTAATGGAGTGTGAAAGTCACACAAATAATCCATGTTTCTGCGGTGACTAGGAGACTGTGGTCATTGTTGAACATAAAAATCCTGAAATGTATACACAGTATTCAATTTGCTCAAGTATATCAGACACAAAGACTTCTCAAAAAATGCACTGCATGCATCATTCACTTTCATTTACAAGAGCTGTTTGCTTGCCTCTAGCTCCACTTCTGGGTCAGGTTTCTTCTGTTTATTTATCTTTTATTCAGTCCCGCTGTGTTTTCTTCTACATCATGTGCTTTTCCCCCTTCTCCTGTATGTGATGTATTGCTCACATGACACTGCATCAGCAGTATCATCCACCCAATCCACATCTCCATTCCCTGTCCAGTATGAAGGTTTGCCTGAGATAATTCCAGGAAACAGTTGTGTTCTCAAAGATGGACATGTCTCAAATACTGTTTTGATTTTGTTGGATTGTGCCACATTTTTAAATGAAGGAAGGTACTGTCCACCAAGATATTCTGACAGCAGAAGTCCTCAACGTAGCCTGTGTGTATTTAAGGTAAGCCTTATATTTCTGTAAATGACACAGTATTCGTCTGCTCCTTTGGACAGCAACCACAATGTCCTACAATGGCCTGCACCCATCAAATATATATGACAAAGCGAGAACTACAACACTGCATATTAATATACAAGGTTTAGCTTAAATACACACAAACAAAATATGGCAAGGGTTCTCTCCCCCTCTCTCTGATTATCTTGGTGGACTATACCAAAATTAATTTATAAACAAAGCACAATCCAGCAAAATCTAAACAGAATTTGAAACACATCAATCTTCCAAGGCTTCTGATAGCAGAATAGTTTGCTTTCATTTGCTCAGACAAACCTTTATACAAGAAGAGAAAGGAACCAGACTAGTTAGAAAACACTGCTGACACAGCATCACATGAGCAATATGACAGCAGGCCCAACTGGGAGAGGGCAGGCGATGTTGAAGGAAGTACAGCAAAAATTAAAATTGGGGAGGGGGGATCTGAGCCAGAAGTGAAGCTGGAAGAGAGCAAATGGTGCATTTCACAACATTTTTGACTTCAACAAATATTTAGTGAGTTTTGTCCAAAACACACAGGTCTTCCGAGTGGCTGATAAGTTATTCAATCTAAATGAAAACTGTAATGGCTTAATAATTGTTCATGAAATTCTTCAGTACCAAATTCTACCAAAATCCAGCCAGTCGTTCTTGAGTTCTTTCATGCTGACAGATGGTAGGCAGACTGAATGAACTTAACAGGTGTTGTACTGGGTTATGAAAGCTCCTAGAAGCACAGATAAGCTGCAAACTGGGTAAAACCAGTACAGATATTTTGGAGTATACTGTACTATCACTACCACCACACAAAATGCCCTCTGCTTCGTATTTTGGGACCATGAGCTACATAGCTTTATGTTAAAGGAGACAGAACTCTACACGTTATTCTGTTTTCAAGAAACAGCTCCAAAAACAGTTCTGCATGGACTGTGGCAATAAATTTTGTTGTAAGAGAGTTCAAATTTATATGTAAAGTGCTGCAAATGTAGATAATAGCAAATACACTGTGTCACAAGTGCACAGGCTGCGCAAATTTATAATGATTTATGGAGAATCAGGACACGCGGTAACTTAGTTGGTTGAGGGTCTATGCTATTTTCCCCTACATCTTTTGTTTGAAACACTTTACACTAAAATAAATGTTTGGTGAGTTATGCTCAAGATACACATAGGTCCTCGTGTAAAGTGGAAGACTAACAGTTCTCTATAAAGCTCTCCAAAATCAGATTTCATAAAAATCCATCCCACACTTCTCAATCTCAACCATGAATACAACAGACAGGCTGAGTGAATTAAGAGGTGCTACGTAGGATTACAAAACACACCTCTAGAAGGAGCACAGATAAGCCATGAATCAGATAATCCATGCACAGATAATTGGGAGTATACTGCAGCTATGTGATAAAATGGAAGCACAAAGAACTCTTAATACTTTTCATTTCGTGCATCCTGTTGTGTTATAATATACAATTTATTTATTAAAATCCGTCACAACACAACAGTATCAAGGTCAAGGCCAAGATTGGCTCAGCTACATGTTTCAGCTATTGAAGCCGTCATCAAGCAAATACATGATTAACATATTCACATCACTGTACTGCAGTACTTGTAAAACTGGATAATGATAATTATTACATTATATTTAGTACTGTACTTTTATACCATATCAAGTATCCAGCTTCACCATCGCAATTGCAGTGCAGTAGTGGGTCAATACGGTAATCATGTATTTGCCTGATGATGGCTTTAATAGCCGAAACATGTAGCCGAGCCAATCTTGGCACAGACCTTGACATGGTTGTGTTGCGACAGATTTTTATAAATAACTTGTAAACTCTAATACTGCTGCAAATATCCAATACAAACATTTAAAGTCACTTTTAATGTAAAATGGATATATGCATATGACTCAGAAAATTGTTGGCTATTGATTTATTATCTGTGAAGTTCAGCAAATGTCAACATAGATCTGATAACATCCTGTATGGGGAAATACAAAGGATTTGGGATGATGTAATTACAGCAAATTTCAAGGTACTGTAACAATTAATTGAGACAACTGTTCTGACATATATGCAAGGTGCTGCATTATCAAATTTATGGCCCACCCTTAAAAGACTGTCTTACAAATTAGTTTTAATGGTATAAATGTATGTGTATAAGCATCTTAAATGTAGGCATAAGGAATAAAGATGCACTTTGTCACTAGATGGAGGTGATCAGCTTGACGCTCTGGCTACTTTACCTACAGGAAACTAACCCCAGTACCCTCTGAGCAAGATCCAGGATCCTGGCTCTTATGACAGCAAAAATCTTTTGTTTCAGTATCGATTCATAGATGTAAAGAAACAGACTGAATGATAACACCACACATATGAATGAGCAGGTGGGTGGTTTATCAAAACACTACAACTACAAAAGAAAATGCTCTTAAAGCACAAAATTATTAGCACGATCAACTTAGAACTACTGCTTGTCGGTGAAGTTATGCCAACTTTAGCCTATAGAGGGTGTTGCGTGGTCAACGCAACAAATCCTCATGGCTGTTAATTTCGGTTTTCTAAACCAGAGCCGCTATTTCCTTGAAACAGCTCCTCAATTATCATCATGAGGCTGAGTAGACTCCGTTCCAGACCCACTACTTCTCTGAAAAAAATCTGGTGGCGCCGGGAATCGAACCTGGACCTCTGGATCTGTAGCCAGGAACTCTGACCACTACACCACAGAGGCGGTCTGAGATAAGCTTCATCATAATCAAAATTGTGTAAATGATTAATTGAAGGTATTGCCTAAAATACGTATAAATAGGAATCATAAGTATCACAATGAGAGCCAACATACTCGTACAACTAAAGTAATGATGTGTGTTAATTAAGGTGAAAACTTGGCATATACGTTGATCTGTTCATGTCGAAGAACAGGGCACGTATCTTTACAGCAGCAAATCTGAACTGCTGAAGTGTAATGGAGGATGATAATATGCATAATTATGTGACTAATATAAATGTGTTGAAATATACTCAAGTGGTGCTATTCATCACAGAATGCCAAACAACTCTTTCTTGTTCCCAAATTAGCCAATCCTAATTAATTGCTTGGCCCAGGCACATGTTCTCTTTTTGTTGCCTTGCAATTATACTCAAACCCAAGCACTAACATACATCCATATGCAATCATAGAGGAGTCGTCCCTGTTGACAACAAAAACAGTAGATCCAGACAAGACGTATGCTGCAACCTCTGACAAAAGCAAGGCACGAAGAGGACAAGCAAAATTATGGATGGGCAGAGTATCAATATAACAATCTGTATAACTGTAATTTTCAACATATTTTGCATGTAACTTATTTTAAAAAAATGTTAAATGGTGACTAGATGAATCTATACTTGTCATTAAAGCTGAATGAATTTTTTGTTTTGAGAAGGGAGAATATCTTTTATCCCAGAAAATATGGCACTCTTTATAAACTGTATTTCAAATCATTACATACCTTAATCACTGATAAGATGAGCATATATAGCTAAGTTCTTAAGGTAGACCTGAGACAAGAAACGTTGGTCATTCTGTTACACGGGGAATGTTGGTTAATCTGAATCAAAATCAAGGTAAGTCTAGAGTAACATCTAACCACCAGATTCTACATTTCCAATTAACCGTAAACCGTCTTTAAAACTCTTCTTCTTTGACGGTACATCCCAATTTTGACCAAAGCCTCCTATATCATAGAGCTTTCTTAAATTATCTAGCCAAACACAGAGGTGGATCCCTCAACATATTTCATTCTACCAAGATCAATGTGAAGGCAGACTCAACACTGTTTCTAATACAATTTCTACCGTGTGCAACTGTTTCTCAAATTTTAAAGTCTGTTCGAGAACAAAAGGAATCTGCTGATGCAAATCATCTCTATTGACATATTCATTTCAAAAAGAAAAAATCCAAATCAGAAATGCTGTAAACGTTAAATGTGTGGTGAATTACCCTGTACTATAATTGAGCAAAATGATAGAATATGGATATGGTTAAACAAATGAAAGCCTCTACCATCAAATAAGAACAAATAAATACACAAAACACACAGTGGAGATATACAGTATTGCAAAAAAGCAAAATTATTTTTCCTTGCCTTTCATTAAATATGCACCATGCTGAAGAATATGTGAAGTAAAAGCTAGAGCCTTAAGGAACTTTATACTTTATCGCACGATACCCATTTTGGTGCCAGACACCATTTATTGAGAAATACATCAAATCAATTTGGCCTCGAAATGACGCAGAGGCTATAAGGGAACATACGGACCGAAACAACACATACTTCTACCAACTTTCAATGTAAACACATTTCATCCAACTTCAATGAGTTTTTTAAGAGATAAAAAATACAGACACATGACCTCACCATTATGCATTCCTCTGACGCATTACATACAAAGACTGCATAATGCCAAAGAGTGCAAAGTGACAAAGTTATTCTGCAAAGTTGTAAACTTCTCATAGGACCTGGCACACCTGATACACCAACTCTGAGGGCTTGCTTACTTACTTACTCACGGAGCTGAGCCCTTCTGGAGGAGCCACCAATTCTGCAGCTACTTAAGAATTTCCCAGCATTTCATGAAACCCAAAGGTTCATTACCATGTTTACAAGAGCCCTCCTCCACTGGTCCATATCCCCAGCCAGATCAATCCAATCCATACCATCCCACCCCATCCTATCTAAGATCCATTTTAATATTGTCCACCCACCTACACCTTGGTCTTCCTAGTGGTCTCTTCCTTTCGGGCTTTCCCGCTAATATCCTACATACATTCCCTGTCTCCCCCATTCGTGCTACATGACCTGCCCACCTCATCCTCCTTGACTTCATCTTTCTAATTATACTTGGAGAAGAGTACAAGTTATGAAGCTCCTCATTGTGCAGTTTTCTCCAACCTCCTGTCACTTCATCTCTCTTCGGTCCAAATATTCTCCTCAACACCCTCTTCTCAAACACCCTCAGTCTATGGTCCTCCCTTAATGTCAGAGACAAAGTTTCACACCCACACAGAACCACAGGCAAAATTATAGTTTTCTATATTCTAATTTTTATGTTTTTGGACAGCAGACGAGAAGACAAAAGATTCTGGACTGAATGGTAGCAAGCATTACCCAAGTTCAATCTACTTTTAATTTCCTCCTGAATCAGGTTTTGATCTGTTATCGTTGTTCCCAGATATCTGAACTGTGTCACATTTTCAAAATATCTGTTTCCTATCTAGGACAACAAAAAGTTAAACATATAAAAAGTCTGACAAAGTTTGCCAAGTTATGAAAATGAAGACTCAGAGGTATACATGGTAGATTTAAATGTTCTCGGACAGAAGGCATATCTGGAAGCCACCAAACACGACCTCCTGCAATAGTCTTTAAAACCACATTATATTCCATGTAATCCCTGAAGCAGTGTCCTTCAGCACTGTAGAAGATCAGGAGAGTACCTTGGGTTTGGTAGCAACACACTCAGCATGCAAGATGCACATAAAATGCTGGGACACTACCATACAGGACCCACCACCAGGTGCCTACATTTCCTAATGCTTTGGGCCAACAGTCTCCCTACAAGGGTGAATGCCTTGTACATCATGTTGATCACTCGACCCTCATTAATAAACCCATATAATACATGGACTACAGTTTTCTGCTAGTCAAAATAAACCTCTCGCATCACCATCCCTTCTGAGTGTTACTGCCAGACCTTTCTGGAACCAGTGAAGACTTTCATATAGAGAACTATCATTTACTATGGGGACCATACAGCACGATTCTTCAAAGCCTTGATCACTCTCTGCTGTGCTCTTCATCACTGATCCTCAAGCAGCCACTGCACTGAGAGAATGGTCTCCTGGCTCGCAATGCTGTATAGCTCAGGGAAAGCAAAAGGAACATATTAACTTTACCTTAAAGGCCGAACAGTAGGCCAAGTAAGAAACCAGCAAAAAGCTGTAGCAGTGTTCTTCCAACAACACTCCTGGCACATTGTGATGGCAGACACAACGTACCTTCACATTCGTACCAAGAATGGTGCAGCAACTACACACCAAACTTCCAATATTCTTTACATGACCGACGATGATCAAACCACACTACCTCCATCTGTTTACGCTGTCCTCATTCCACAGTGCTGTATGTAATCTGCAGGTTATTCAAGACCATCTTTGAAAATGTGATCTCAGTTAGAGCATCTTACACTGGGGCATAATTTTTTTGTCAAATGGTGTCCAAAGCATCTGCAGTGTTTCTGACTGACTTTCCTAATCGCTGGCAAAATTCAATGTTGGTCCACAGCTCAAGGTGACTCATTTCCCCACTTCAGTATCTTCCATGCATTGTGCTCTCCCCTGGAACCTAATCTGCCTGCTGATGAAACATAAACTGAACATTTTCAAAAAGTTCTGGGGGTACACATTTCAAAATGCGCAAGTAGGGCCCAGCCTACGTGCCACAATCTCACTGCATTCACTTTGGTCCTGGAATGTTCTGAAGCTAGCAATATATTGTCACATGTTTGGAATCCAGAAGAGTTACTTCCATGGAAACGCTAGAACAGGCCGTTGCCTAGGAAGTAACAATAGCGATACTGTAATTCTAACAGTGAGCATTGCATAGTGATGAGTTTCCACGGTTATAACAAAGGCTCGTTTGCATAGCAGTGACCGAGGTTATAAAAAGGGTTCAATGCATTCGCTAAGTGAGTCTCGCGATATATGCCTATAGATACAGATGTACTGGCCGAGATATTGTAAGCAGTCATTGTAATACTGTAAGTGATAACGATTGTAAAGCGTGTAATTTTATAAGTGGAGAACAATAAAGGTTCTACTGAATTTGAGACCTGCGTGGATTTATTTGTTGTGTGACGCACAAAACACGTAACAATATATACAAACAAATGCTCAGAGTGAAACGTCCCTTACCTTTAACAGACGCTTCCAGCAGACTTGAAAGGCTCATTTGCTTTCCATCTCCTGGCTGTAAAGAAGGAAAAAAATACTGATAATGTCTGCTGAAATAAATGGATTACAAAAATGTTCATGTTATGACCACAATCTGAAAAGAGCTGATAGTAGGAAAAAAATAGTAGAAAGTGTGAAAGTGAAATATTCAATGTGTTGTATAAAAGTAATATAGCTTATATGATTCGATCTAATCATACAACATATCCCACATAATAATAAATAAACATATATATATATATTGTAACGTGTCTCCGTTACTGAAGACGCCGTAGAGATCGTTAATTGGTTTATTCAACAATCTACAACTAACGGCTACAATTAATTATCACACAGTTGCGGGGTTTCACACTTTATAACCCTAATCGCATTAATCTGTTACCACTGTTGCGGGGTTTCACACTTTATAACCCTATGCGCAAATCAGCTCACTCTGTCTTCAGTAGTCTACACGTTTACAGTAGGGGAGCTTTGTATCCCTGTATCACACACTCCCAATTACACAATCACACACACGTCAGGTTCTTCTTTCCGTGACGGCTGCTATACTCCAACTTGTAGTCAGCTGACTGGAGAACTGTTGATAACACACTCGCTCGTAGGCTTGCTCGGAACTATCTTCGGCGATGGCCACTTTACAACTCGACTCGGCAACTGTTACAGTACAACTCGGCGGCGGTCACAGTACAACTAGGAACTGTCTTTGGCGATGGCCAGGTTACAACTAACTGGTAGCTGCTGTGCAGTTTCCTTATATAGCCGCAGTGGTGCCTGTTGCGTTCCACGTCACAGTAGGAAGTTGAGTACGGGTACGTAGCGTTGCACGTTACGTCACCGCGGAGGGGTGGGAGGGAGTGCTACGTTACAGCCACGCGCCTGTGGCCTGAGTTGCCACGTGGCTGCTGGGTAGGGAGGGGTTCTCCGTTGTGCAACATGTTACAATATATATATATATATAGAGAGAGAGAGAAAGAGAGAGACACACACAGCAGTCCCTTTAATTCATTTCACCCATAAATTCCTTATACATATAACAGGGTAATTTTTAGAAACATGACAAGGATTTTAAATAAGATATACATATTTTGGGCAAGTGTTTGAATATATATAAACAATAATCCTATGTAAAAACGTTTACATGCCAAGACAATTAGCACTGGATCCATTGCAACACGCAGTTTAGTAATGAACATGGATGTATTTTGTTGTTTATAAACGCCTGGTGATGGTTTAACCAACCAAAACACGTAGCACAAAGAAAAAAGAACATCTTAATAAACTGATTTTATCAACAATTTGAGTCTTATCAGTTATTCATTAAGAGTACACAACTGCTGTGATTGACAGGCATATCTATATATGACAGCTATTCGGGAAAGTAACCTCCGTTTATTTTAGGCAACTACTGTAGGAGCGGGCAAGAGCTCGTGCATGTATGGTAGTGTCACATGACTCATTGCTTGTAAACCATCACACTGTAACATGTGCTGTCAATAAATCCAATCATCTGAATTAAAACCCATCATTTCATCATGCGTACCCTCTACAAGTGACAACATAACTGGTCACTTAAAGTTTGTTCTTGTCTCTACAGAGTGAGTTATGAAGTGTCTTGCAACTGACAATTCAAGCAGCTGCAAAATTCGCAGTTATCCACTTTCTTCACACTAAAAACATAAGTGCTACAGAAGTCCACCATGAATTATGCACAGCTTGTTCTCAGAATCACTTTCAATGTGCATAGTACACAAACATTCCCCTTTATGACAGCAGATATATCTACATTTATCTTGTAATGAGAGGGCCAAAGTGTTGCCAGGTTAATGGTGCTTAATTTTCAGCACCAAGTTTTATACATTGTACTGATGTTGCATAAGATTGTGGAGTCATACTAATTCCATACTTTTCTCAATTATGTCATGTGAAATCAATTAAAACACTACACAGAATATGTATATGTACTTTCTGCTAAGTTTATAAACAACATTAAACACTTTTTATTAAGGTGGAACTGTTAACATATATTTTAGAGAATGGAAGGATACTCAAGGGCCACACAAAGCCAACTTGTGTGCTGCATGAGACATGCAGGCCACAAGTTGGTCGCCTCTGATTTTACTTGCTAAACTATCTTACTTTACATAAGTTTTGAGGTTTTCATGGCGATGACAATGAAGAAAGTCGTCTTCTGGGTTTAGGCACTGTGTACAGTCAACTCTCGATTATCCGGGGGCGGATTAACCGGTTTGCGGCTTAACCGGGGCTTTTTTTTTTAAGTTTATATGTTGTTTAATATTCATTCACTTTTGTTTCACATGGTGANAACTGAATAACAAGCAGTGTTTCCTGAATTTTCTTTTCACCTAACTTCAACAAAAATCTCTTTTATATTTGTTACTGCTGCTCCCAGATACACCTTGAAACATATTCAAATGATTTATTATGTATAACATTTTTTTCAGATTCTCGGTTCTAGCACTCTTTCAGTTAACATTAATGCAGTAATGAAGAAACACAAGAGTTCATGCTATATCAAGTGAATCTGATTACCTGCGATATTTTTGGCGGTGGAGGCACTTGTGGAGAATCTTTCTCAGTATAGTGGAATGGTTGGCTTAGCGTATTTTCTGTTGAAGGAAACTCACTAATGCTGATGAATGGCGCTAGTTGGCCAGGATATCCCGTGGGAACAGGAGGTGGCACATTGTATACTGGAGGGGGTACTGGCAGGGGGACAGATGTTGGAGCCATAACTGGAGGGACAGAAGGGGGTTCATGATGAAGTGATGGAGCAGACACAAAAGTGGGAGGGACATCATTCTGTGGATGCTGAATTAGAGCACCTGAGAAACCAGGTTCAGAAGGGTAATTATGACTGTATACAGTATGGTCTGGAGGGTAAGGGAGAGCAGTAGTACCCTGGGCAGGATAGTTGCTGGAGCTGCGACCCTGCTTCAGGGAAAACAGAAAATTATCAACTATTAATTTTCCGATTCTTTCACATGGGCTGCCATTCAACACAATCATTAATGGCATGAGCATGACCACTAGTGTGTGTACACAAACAAAAGAAGAATGTTCAGTGTTGCCAACAGAAGTTCTTTCAATGTAGCCAATAAAGACAAATTCTATTCCACAATTTCTTTGTTTTCATTATTTTGTCTGTCCCCATATTTTGTAGCTTGTATATGCTCATGATTTTATTACAAGAGATCAAATAGCTGTTCCACAAAGCAATTTTGCTATACGTTAGACTACAACATTGTGAATCAAATATATTTGTTTAGAGAAAAAATCCATTCTGTAAGAGACTGAAGGTCAGAGGTTACAATGTGACTATGAAACCAAACACATCTCAATGGGAGTTATAGTACATCCATAAAAAGTGGATCTCACTATCTTTTAAACACACCTCATATGAGTTCTGCAGCTAGTACAGAATAAAAGTCATGGTAATGTTTAACTGAAGCCTTCTATGGACACTATAAGCTCACACTTTCAATGCAGTATGAAAGGTTGGGTTAAAACTGATCTTTTCTGTGACTTGGCACCTAATGACCATACAGTCTTATATTCTAAGGCAGCTTAATCCAATGTCCATTTACAAAACACTATTTTTCCCTGCTCCAATCTATGAGTTTCCAAAGTGACAAAATCCTTTGATGTTTTCAATTAAATTCAGTATCCATTTCTCATTTGTCAGGCATGCTACCTGTCCTGCCCACTGTACCCTCTTCTATATAATAACTTCAATAATATTAGGCGAAATGGGCAGGATAGCTCAGTTAAACTACTGCCTATGGACTGGATGGCCAGAGATTCAATTCCCACCAAGGGCAGGGATTTTTTCTTCACTACCACGTTCAGACCAGCTCTGGGATCCATCCATCCTCCTAGTATGTCTAAATACCAGGAGTGCTTTCCCTGATGTCCACCCAGCAATCCTCATACAGTACCAAGGCTGACAAGTGTGCAGCTTTCCCTTGCATTCCCCTTATAGGACTCTGTGGTACAGTGCTAAGGCACAGTGTAAACGTTACCTTGTACCTTTACATGTAACAATAATAAATGAAGAGTACAAGCATATACATGTAGACAATAAATATTATTAAAAATCAATTTGCACTGTACCTCAAGATGTGCTGTCCCAGCTGCAGAAGAGGAGTACCCTCCTGATTGAGTATAAAAACTTTTGCGTAAATCCTCTGAAAATTGACGTTCTAGTTCCTTCCAGAAAGGTGACCGCTTCCTTCGTCTTCTGTAGCGGGAATCATCAGACACAGAAGACAGGGACACAAACGAGTCTGAAGGTGAGAATGCTGATCCATTACTATGAGGTGAACATGAATCACGGTAACTTCTTCGATATTCATAACTTCTTCGCTCTCTACTAAGTGAACGAGAGAAACGCCGCTTTGGCTCTCTCTCTGATACAGAAGACAATTCAAATGAGATACTAGGAGACAGGGACATGTGCCCTGCAGACAAAGGAGACAGTGCTCTGTGCTTATTTCTTTGCCAGCTTGGGGATCGCCTGTTCTTCATTAAGGATCTCTGCTTTTCCTCTTCCTGGCTCAATGAGTTTCTATATCTCTCGCGCCTGTCTCGATATTCATTCCTATGTTCTCTATCTCGACTACGCGATCTTGATAACCTTAGTGGCAGAGAAGATTCATGCTGTTTTTCTCTGCTTAAAGATCTTACGTATCTTCTGCTGTTATTCTCAACGTCCACCTTCCTATTTAACCTCTGTGCATCAACACTGGCTTGCCACCTCTCTCTGCTTCGAGATCTTAGGATATTTTCTTCTCCACCATATCCCAAAACCCTCTTTTTCCTTAGCAACTCATTGAACTGTTCATTTTTCGTTCTTGATGCTTCAAACATCCTCTCTAAGCTTGAAGAACGTCTCTTCTTTTCTTCAGAGGAACTCTTTAGTTGCTTCCTTCCCCTTTCTTCATCCAAAGGACCATGACCCCTGCTCCTTGAAGCTGATGATCTTCTCTCTGACCTGCTGGAGCCAGATCTCCTCCTTTTCCTCTCATGTGGAGAATTCACTCTTGTTGCTTCTCTATGTGGTTCCTGACCAGCAATACATAAAGAAGCTTTTTCCTTTTCATTCCTTTCCAGTATTTTATGTCCATCATTCTTTTCATTTATGATACAAATTTCTTTGCCATGCCGTTCTGATTTTACCATAGGATGTCTACATGATTTTTCAGAGCCAAGCACAATGGAGTGCTTTGTCTCTTCAGATAAACTCTCTTTTCTCACAGTTTTACAGTCATGCTTTGCTTTAACATTTCTTATATATATTTTTTTAATGTCATCAACCACTTTCACAGGTTCATCTTTTGTGGCAAGGATAAAGTCATTCTCTGTACCAGGAGGCACAAGATCAGCCAACTCTTTTATACACGTGTCTAGCTTTGTGTCATTTAATGGTGGGTTATCACGCTTGGTAATAACATACTGCTGACTGGCTGCTACTCCCTCAATCACCACATCTGAGGTTCCTTTCTCCACATGATAATTCTTAATGTATTCTCTGTGACTTTCCTTGTAAGCCAGATTTAGGTCAGAATTTTTCTCATTTCTATGGCTTCCCCTCAAACCCTCCTCTCTTCTATTAAATTCTCTGGAACTTTCCTGTCTTCTCTGCACTGCCCCAGGTTTCTCCCCTGCACAGACATCACTGATATCATGCCGCAAATCAGAATTCCTTTTTTTTGCACTGTTACCTGCAGTTCTCCCCCTGTTACTTACCCTAAATTGGTATGAGTACCTGTGCGATGTCCTCATTATATTCTTATTCTTGTCATCATTTTCTACTGCTCCTTCTACACTCCCATCTCTTTGTCTTTTGTTAACACTTGTTTCCATACTCTTGTCCTTGTTTTCTTGATTATTACTATAACTATGTATATTTCTTTCTGCACTCCTGTCCTTGCTATTTCTGCCTCTTCTGTGTATACTTCTTTCTATATGATCTCTACTACCTTTCCTTATCCTTGATGTATTTCTTTCCTTATTATTACTGCTATATTCCTTTCTTCTCTCTCTACTTCTATCTCTTGTCCTCTTATAACCTTTTTGTATATCCTTGTCTACACTGTGTGTGTGTTCATGTGTATCATTTTTATCTTTTCTGTGTGCTGTTCTTTCCTTACTGTTCTGCTTGGTCATAACTGAAACCTTGTCATGTCTTCTACTCTCAGTTCGGCTGCTATGGTCCCCACTACTCCTGTGACAACTCCTGTCACTTTTGCTTTTGTTCTCAGAATCCCTGCTAACAGTTTTGTCTATGTTTTCTGTTTTATTTTCTGCTGGTGATTGTCTGTTATTACCATCATCTTCCCTTTTAGTTTCAGCAAGGCTTTCATAACCGTCCTCTGCGTCTGGATCCCATGCATCCACAACAGCCAAGCTATCTAAGAAATCGTCTGTCAAAACATCATCAAAGAAACTATCAGGTGGTTCATCAATGGCATCTGACATCATCTCATCTGCAATAGTTTTATCTGATGTGTGACCAGCTGCATCATCTGTATCCCTATCTTCAATAATCACATTACTATTTCTGACATTTAATTCACTTCCAATATTTGAATTCATATTTGGTGCTTGCTCCACACTGTCTTCTTCACTATACTTTCTTAGTTTCTCTGCAACTGTGTTACTCTCACTGTCATTTTCTTTCCCTTTACTGACTTCATTTCCTTCTCCCTTCTTTTCAACAGCACAGCCCAGTTCATGTTCACCAGCCTCATTTGCCATTACCTGAAAGAGACCTGAAAATGTATATACCTAAATTGTGTTAGAATTCCTGGATATGTAAATTTAAGTGCAGCTTCTCAGTTGCATGACAAGATTTTAAAACAGTTATAGAACATATTTCAAGAGTCAATTACTTCAAAAGTTTGAAGGTGGCAATTTTAACCATTTTCCCTAAGAGTTGGAGTATTCACAACGTTCACGAAGTTTTCCCAAGTGCTGCTGACTACGTGATTAAGACAGCGACCAAGACATTATGAATTCACTAGGCAAAACTTTAAATGAAGTTACTGCTGAAATTGTAAAAAAAGCTCCTACAACAGCTGTGAAGTCAGTAGCGTACTGCTTGGTAAAAAAAAAATATACATATAAATTAGTCAGTTTCATCAAAATGCATAAATAGAAATGACTGCTGTTCTGCACCCTGAAAGGGTTATACTCTCATATCCAGGAGTCAAAGTGGAGGTTTGAAAAGTTGGCATCCTAGAGCTTCAGAAACCATATGATGGCAGCTGAAAGTGGTGTGTGCATGTGTGGTTGTTCGTTTGTCTGTGCGTGTGCAATTCACTAAAACGTGAAGTTTATGTTGGAAGCCTGACAAATATTCAAACAAGATGCAGTGGGCATCACTTTTCTACATAACACCACTGTCCTGTAACTTACTTACTTACTCATGGAGCTGAGCCCTTCTGGAGGAGCCACCAATTCTGCAGCTACTCAAGAATTTCCCAGAATTTTACGCAACCCGAAGGTTCATTACCGTGTTCACAAGAGCCCTCCACTGGTCCCTAACCTGAGCCAGAACAACCCAATCCATAACATACAATCCTATCTCTCTAAGATCCATTTTAATATTGTCCACCCACCTACACCCTGGTCTTCCCAGTGGTCTCTTTCCTTCTGGCTTTCCCACTAATATCATATACAAATTCATCATCTCCCCCATTTGTGCTACATGACCTGCCCACCTCATCCTCCTTGACTTCATCATTCTAATTATACTTGGAGAAGAGTACAAGTTATGAAGCTCCTCACTGTGCAGTTTTCTCCAAACTCCTGTCACTTCATCTCTCTTTGGTCCAAATATTCTCCTCAACACCCTCAGTCTATGTTCCTCCCTTAATGTCAGAGACCAAGTTTCACGCCCATACAGAACCACAGGCAAAATTATAGTTTTGTATATTCTAACTTTTATATTTTTGGACAGCAGACAAGAAGACAAAAGGTTCTGGACTGAATGGTAGCAAGCATTACCCAAGTTCCATCTCCTCTTAATTTCCTCCTGAATCAGGTTTCAATCTGTTATCGTTGTTCCCAAATATATGAACTGTGCCACAATTTCAAAACATCTGTTTCCTATCTTTATTGAATGATTTTTTCCCTGCATTTTGGTGACGAGACATTAACATATACTTAGTTTTCTGTGTTTACTTCTAGACCAACCTCTTTACTTCCATCAATTAGAGTTTGTGTGTTTTCCTTTATGGTATATACATTATCATCCAGTAGATTCACATCATCGGCACAGGCCAACAGCTGATGTGTTACATTTAATTTCAGTCCCACCTGGTTTCCTTGGACCTTTCTAATGGCATAATCTAAAACAAAGTTGAAAAGGAGTGGCGATAAAGCATCTCCTTGCTTTAGACCATTCTGGATAGGAAATTTATCAGACAAATGTTTACCTATATGGACTTTACTATTCGTTTTGTTTAAACACATTTAATCAACCTAACTGGTGTCATGGGTATCCCAAACTCTATCAGAATATTGTACAATACTTCCCTCCTAACTGAATCATAGGCTTTCTTGAAGTCTATGAATAGCTGATGTACTGTCTCATCGTACTCCCATTTTTTCTCCAATATCTGATGAATGCAAAAGATCTGATCTGTAGTTGATCTGTTACGTTGAAACCCACACTGATGATCCCCAATAATTTCATCTATATGTGTACTTAACCTTGAAAGAAGAATATTGGACAAAATTTTATATGAAGTTGATAGCAGTGATATCCCCCCATAAATACTACAGTCAGTTTTATCACCCTTCTTGTGGACTGGTACAATAATAGACTCCTTCCACTGATCAGGCATTTTTTCCTTACGCCAAATAGAAATAATTAGAGTGTGGACCTTACAGAATAATATTTCGCCTCCTGCTTGAACAAGTTCTGCCGGAATTTGATCACTACCTGGCGATTTATGCTGTTTCAATTTTGCAATAGCACTTTCAACCTCAAAAGGGCTAGGATCAGGTTATTAACAGCTCAGCTGTACTGATTTCTGTCTGCCTAACATCACTGACCCTATGTACATTCAATAATTGAGAGAAGTGGTTCCTCCACCTATTCAAAATGTTGTGGGAATCTGCAAGCAGATCACCATTCTCATCCTTCACTAAGTTACTGCTAGGCCGGTAACCCTTGTTAAAGTCATTTATTCCTCTATACAGGTCTCTAATATTCTTGTTCTTACTGTTCATTGCAAGCTCATCAATTTTGTCTTTCAGATATTCCCTCTTTTTGTTCCTGAAATGCCTGCTGGTTTCACGTCTTATATTGTTTAGATTATCCCCATTTAACTTGCTTGGATCCTTTAACCACTGCAATTTGGCCTGCTTTCTTTGATCTAATAATTTTGAGCATCCTTCATTTAACAATGGCTTATGTGCTTCTTTGGTTCATAATAACCTAGACTCTCTTTCGCAGACATTTTTATATTCTCTCTAATAGTTTCCCAAGCTTTATTAACATCCACCTCAGTTTCCAAGTTTTCCAAAGCAGCAAACCTATTTGAGATTTCAACAGAATACTGCTCTTTACCGTCTACCTCATTTAATTTCTTGAGATTGAACCTCTCCATAGGAACTGTGTGTGTTGTTTGTTTGCTCACTGCCAGTCTTTCCCTAACCTTTGCCACCACCAGGTAGTGGTCAGTATCACAATTTGCTGCTCTCAATGATCGGACATCAAGTATACTTGAGTGCCATCTCCTATCTATCAAAATATGGTCTATCTGATTGTGTATCTTCCCATCAGATGTCCATTTGAAATCAATTTCAACCCGTTTTATCCATGATTTCAGTGAATCTCCAGGACCTACTTATTTATAAAATATATTAGAAAATGTATTCACTGCTAAGGCAAATAAAAACACCACCTTCAAGTAGTGGATTTGCATTGAAAGATCTGAATTACTGATCACTGTATAGTGAATTGATGAAAAACTGTTAGTTCTACTTCAGCATTCATTCAGTGCAACATAGCAAGCTGTATTCATCAAAGAACTGAAATGTGCTTCCAAATCATAATTGCCTTTCTTTGCTACAGATGTTTCTGCATATAATACATTCTTTCATTTTCATTTCTCCCAGCTTTAAAGTATGTAAATATAAGTTCAATGCTAAATTTAGATCTTGCAGCTCATTATCAGTAACAATAATATATATATAAAATTAGACTTTGTCAAAATCTATGAAACCGCACTTATATTTAAGAAAAAAACTTGCATTAGGGAGGCACAAACATAGCACTTAGTTAACTTCTTTCGCTCTGCTAGGAAGTGTAACTACTGACTGAGCACACTGTTACAAATTCCAACAAATATCTGCAAATGCAACTATAAATTAGTGCAAATAACATGACACGTTCTGTTCCAGCATTGCTGCAGGTGCAGGCGCATAACTGTGCAACAGTTTTCCATATCTACTGATTGCAATGTTTACGATTTCAAAAACAAATCGCCAACTTTAGCTGTTATATCACTCACTGGCACTCCAAAAATAAATGTTTGTAAACTGTTTTTCTCCGAAGATATTACAGAAGGTCGCAACGTATAAAATTTAACAGAAAAGAACCCACACATTAAAAACTACCCTTAAAATGAGTGCAGCTGCTCACCCTCATTATACAGTAATTTCAGTAGTTTCCGAATCCACACAAGAGTACTCTTTCCAATAAATTACTTTCTTTAAGACTCTTTACTCTAATTTCATTTGACAACACTTGTATGTCCTTTAGATTCTGGCTTGGTACCGGGATCCACTTTCAACTAAACAATTTTGAACGTTCCTTATGTGTGAGATCACAACTACAACTGCAGATTTACGGTAATTTTATTACACTGTACCTTAAAAACTAGTGCAATGAATCTCATCTAGTGACTAACAAAGTTACTGGATGCTTATCTGACATGAATCATTTTCCTAATTTCTAAAATTCAAGATTTCACATAGTTCAAGCACCGGTTAAAATACTGTGCGATATTATCACAATGTAATTCTAACACCGGGGAAAATAACATAAGTAGGCAACATAATAAACATCTGTAAATACCGCTTCAGTGCCTAGTTAACATTATGAAAAAAACGCTTACTTAGGTTTACTCCAGATTTCCCTCGGAGCACAGCAAACCCAATTTGTATATCAAAACCTTTTCCACATGCGTGTAAACACTACACGATCAGTTACAGTTCACTGAAAGTAAAATATGCAAATTAAAGACTAACACAAATTAACGTCTAAACACCTTCCACTATAACTAAAACTATCGCAAACAAACATAAGATAACATTCGTCAGTACAGAACGCCATTTTATGTTGCTGCAATATCAAAGATACAAGTATATTGAGTTGATCCGTGGACAGCAGAAATCAGAACCACGGACGACATTACTGCGCACACAAATTCTTTATTTTCCTCTTCTTCTTTTCCATTTGGCAATCATGATGATCATGATAGTCACGACTTCATGCACTCCAGTTGTCAAACATCTGAGATTTTGAATTTTTTAAACTGGGCAGATTGCCAAATACCCGCACTGAATTAAAGCTATACGCATACATACAGTTAACGAAACATTTAGTTATAAATGTGAATAAAGGAGGCTCTGGCCACAAGGAGACTTGCGGCTTAAAAAGCATTAAGACATCAACTTGTGAGCCCATCGATAACAGCGCCAAATATGAAAGCCACTCAGATAAATTCAGTGCTCTTGGACCTTATCTAAAACTACCATCAAATGTGCATAAACAACGGAACATGTCCATGGAACATATTGCGTTGGTAAAACTGACTCTTTGGAGTTTTTCTTGAGAAGATGCCTTTCGCTAAGGTACTTATTAATTTCCCAACAGCTTATGGAACCCTAAGCTTCATTTTCATGTTCACAAAAGCCCGCTACTCCAGATGAAACCAGTCCATACTACACCATTCGATTTCTTTAAGATCCACCTTAATATTATTCTTCAACCTACATCTAGATTATTCTTGTCTCTTTCTTCCAGGGTTCCCACCAAAATCTTACATGCATTCCTTTTCACTCCATGTGTGCTAAATGCCATGTCCATCTCATACTTGTTCACTAGAGCATTCGAATTTTATTCTGAGAAGAGAACAAGTTATGAAGCTCCTTATTATTCAGTTTTCTCCAGCATCACACCATTTCATCCTTCTGTCCAGATATTCTCCTCAACACCTCCTCAGATACCTACAGTCTATGTTCTTCCCTAAGGGTCAGAAGCTATGTTTCACATGCACAAAAAACTACAGGCAAAATTATAGTTTTGTGTATTTTATTTTTGAATGTTATAGACAGCAGACGAGAGGACAACAAGTTCTGAACTGAATGGTAGCAAGCACTACCCAAATTCCCGTACAGCCTTCAGATTCTGTATATGATTCCATTCATTCTGGCGAAACGCTATGTCGAAGGTAGCGCACTTCCTCCTGGAACAACTCAGGATTCAAATTAGGGTGGGCCACTCAGACCCTCTGAAACATCTTCTTCGGGGTATTAACCCACTCCTAGAATGCTGCCTTCTTCTTGACGACCAAGTGCAGAGCAACATTCCAGTGGTCATTCATATGGCCCAGGATACAGAACCACTTGTCGCCAGTGAGCTTATCCAAGGTATCGCCTGTCTTTATTAGCATTGAACTAACCTTCTTGGTAGTGTCATTCAGCCTTCAGAAGTCCAAGCCGAAGAGTAGGTTTCCGCTTCTCTTCATAAAATTCACAACGGATAAAGACTGAGTACCTTTTGGCTTCTCGATTTACTCTCATATTTTCATATCATTCCACTTTAGTTTGTGTAGCTATCGAGGTTCTACCATGGGACTAATGGATTACTCAGCCATCTCTTCGACTTGAATTCATACTGGACTTTAATGACCAACTCTTAAAGCACACGCCACCAATTTGATTTGACCGTTGCTCATTTCCACATCATTTTTCTCTGCTAGTCGCCACTGTGTTTTGGCAGGCTCTCAACTTACTCAACTGCTACAAAATTGGCTCTAATGCTGCATTCATCATCGATCCCACACTATTTAACCTACTTCTGACACCAGGGCTAAAGACTTGATATGTAGAAGAATTCTTGCCTCACTGTCAGCACCAATTTATTCTCCTGAGATGAGTTATATGTTCACTCATTAATTCACAGAGAACATTCTGGTCACAGCACTCGCCTACTTCCTCCGAATGTAGCTCTATTACTCTGTATTGCTCTGGACTCCACTCAACTTCCTTGTACCACACAGAACTGAAAATTACTCACTAATAACTAATTATCTGTCCCTAATTCTGATTCCCTTGCTTGCCACCTACTCCTTTTAAAGCCATGTCATCCGCAGGGAATGTTCAAGAATGTTCGCTGGTTCCTACTTAACTGATTGGTTTTTGTAGTAGTCCAGAAGAGGTTCTCGATATTTCAGAAAGATTGGAGTAGCTCACAGACTAGGCAACAAGATTCTATCGCACTCCGTTCTGGCGACAATAATTTATATTCCTCAAGATGATCCCATGGAATTGTCAATCCATATATCAGAAGAGACATTACTGAAAACTGAAGAACTTCATCGCCATATCATATGACCCTTTTCTCAGGCATTTAATGGCCTAAGTGTCTTGCAACACAGATGTTGCTTTCTTTTACGGGATTTTTGTAGGATTTTGTCACATTTATAGGAATCTAGATCTTAATGCCTTCATGTCTACCATTAATATTATCTTTGTGCTACTCCTTCCTGCCATGCCTGAATATAATAATTTCAATATAGAAATATATTCCTGTAACGTCATTTCTTCCACTCAGTGCATTAAATCGTGGACTAAGTTGCTCTGTGTAGGTGTATATTTCTGTTGCCCAGTCTTTCTTCAGTTCAAGACACCCTGTTGAACCCACAAGTGTACTTATTTTGTACCATGCATTAATATTCTTATTTATCGTTGGTTTATATACTCATGACACTTGTAAAGAAAAATATCAAAATATAAGTTAGATTTAGTGGGAGTAGAAGGTCACCGAACCAGAAGGCTAATATGTATTTCTATGAAAAGAGGAATGAGAATCATGAATTAGGTATAGTTTTTTCATGCATATGAGAGTCATATCAGCAGTTAAGAGGGTAGAATTTCTTAGTGAAAGGATGTCGCATATAATACTAAAAGGTCGCTGGTGTGATATCACTGTTCTGAATGTTCATGTCCCAACAGAGGATAAAATTAATGACGTAAAGGACAGGTTCTATGAAGAACTAGAACATGTATTCATTAAAATCTGTTAGGATATTTGAATACCAAAGTAGGTGGGGAAGACATTTTTAAACTAACAATTGGGAATGACAGTTTGCACAAAAGTAGTAATGATAATGGAATTAGAGTATTAAACTTTGCTTGTACCAGTTCTCACGGTCTCTTCGCTTGCAGATTTCTTTTCTTTCTTTCTACCCCGAAGATGGAGGCGATACGTTCCTCCAAAACGTCAGTTAACACCACATCTACATGGTGCCACATCCCAGAAAACTGCTTTCTTCTTAATAGAAACTTGTTTTATAATTTATACCCTGATAAATAAAATGCACATTTTTAAGACACAAACTTCTTCCTTCCAAAAAATGAAAGAATATAACTCAATTTATAGTTCAAACTCAAAACTTCTGCTAAATAAAATTAACATACCTCTAACATACACTCTTTGTTATAATCTGTTTCTCAAATATGGATTTTGACAGAAGCACACGACACTTTCATTCTGCAAACAATATGTGAAGGATTTGTAATGAAGGGTGGAAAAGATAAATAACTTAGAGCATTTTCAGACTTTTATTTTCTTCACTATAAAGTTTTCTCTATTATGACCAGGACAAATTTCATGTATTTAGTGACAATGTCAGCTGCTCAAACTATATAGCATCAAAACAGTGGAAATAATTTTATGTACCATTTGTTGTATGCAAATTTTTTACACAGGAATATTGCTCTAACTGGACTGGCATGGCCTGTCAGTTGGTTCCTATCAAAATTAACTTAAAAACAATCATCCTTTAAATGCACGACAACTCAGTAATATAAACTAAAACACTTCTTCCTCCTCAGCTGTATTTTCATGCTGAAGTTCAGTGAAACATATAGTAAAATGCACCACCTAAATATAACAACATATTACCTTTCTGCAATTAAAAACCATGCAGAACAGCATGACTTAATATTACAGACTCATCCCACAAAACTCACCTATCATATATAATATTTTATGTCTGTCTTCAGGTAGATAGCATCTATACAATCACTCATATACAAGTTCTGTGGTTTATGTTGATTCGCAGTGTATTCAATATGTGACCACTGCTTCAGTCTACCAGTTACATGATTCTCATATGCAATACAGACCACTAAAGAAAGGAGTCTTAACTTTAAAGACGAGCTTTGAGCAACAACTTCCATGTTACAATGAATTTGCGAAGGAATTGACCAAACATGTAAAGACATGAAGATCCATCTTCTTGAACCCTCAATCTGCCCCTTCTGAGACTGTCATACATTCTCTGGGCCTGCTTACAGAGCATACCTTGAAGAACCTCAATCAGTTGACTAATTTGTAGTTTGTGTATAAATATTAATTGCTTTTACGTCCTCTTATTGAAAAACTGGGCTAAAGCATCCTGACTCTGATCTCTATTTCTCACTGATTTTGCAAGCCACACACTGTTTCTGCTCATTTGTCCCCAAAATGCACTAGAAGCTGAATGCTTAAACTGGTTTATATGTTCTTTTTCTCAAGGTGAGCATTTTATGTTGCATATGCAATACATAATAAGCTTATAAGAAAGGCTTTCCATATTTGCATACTAAAATTTGATCAAATGGAAGTATCCAGGTTGTAATTACTGAGAATGTGTATAATGTTTCATTACTTTTTACATATGATCATCTGCAGCTGCTAAATTTCAGAAAAGGTTAAGTCTTGTTACATAAAAATACTATACTTGTCTATTTTGACAAATGGATCTGAAAATTCTATTAAGAGAAATATAAGTAGATTATATGCTGGGAAATTCTTGAGTAGCTGCAGAATTGGCGGCTCCTCCAGAAGGGCTCAGCTCCGTGAGTGAGTGAGTGAGTGGGTNAAACAAGCAGACAGTAGGATATTTAGATGAGATCTGAAAGAAGAAAGAAGTACTACTACAAGCTGGTTAAATTAAAGATACAAGGGTATGAAGAACATGGAGAACATCAGGATTCCTGTGAGGGCATAAAAAATGTTAAATTGCTACAAACAAGCAGCACAGATCAAATGTCTGGAAATATATTAACTTTCTGAATTTGCAAGGATTATGTTCCTGTAAACTCGCATGAATGTGGAATTTGCTGAAGTTGAGACCATAATTCAGTTGAGAAAATCTGATTAGGCGCATGATATTAAAAAGAATGGCGTGAAATTGTGTGTGTATATATATACACATATAAGAACACAGACACAAATTAATACATAATAATATAATACTATGCATCTATTAGTAATACTAAAAATATTACAATATGATGATGAAGTCACTGAAGAAAGCCAGCGAACTGGGGCAGGCTGAGACAGTACGTTTTGGGATGAAAAAAAGTGATCATCATTTGTTTTGCTGTTTCCTGCTGCTAAATATCATGGTAGGGGCAAGATGCAGATCCAATATTCATCTTAAATTTCAGGTCTGAGTCTCTGACACTGAAGTAAGAGGGTGGCACGTGACCATATGGCTCTGTACTAAGCTTTCATACTGCAGCAGTAAACCCTCAGACTTGCAAAGCCAAGCCGGCATGAATGTAGAATAGGCACTCATTAGATACATCATGAATGTGGAGGGCTTACTGTATGCAAAAGAGAGTAGCAAAAGGGGTGACATAAGCAGAGCACTTATGGAGGCTGTCATAAGACGACTTACCCCTGATGGAAATGACAATACATTTAGGCCATTTAAAAACTATGTATTACATAAAATGTTAATTTTTCTTTCAACCACATATTTAATAAGGTACAGTTAAGAAATCAACTCCAGTAAAGAATACTGTTGATTAACAATTTTGAAAATTACATCTTTTTATTACTTTCATTCTATATAAAATTACATTCATACATGTTGTCAGAGCAAAGCCATTTCAAAGGACTGGCACACATTGCAAACTTATCTTGGGTGCTTTGAGCAGAAGCTATATATCAGAGAGCTGCATGTAAGGTTCATACGATTAATACACAGCAGGAACCTTAGGGATGAGAATGGGCTCAAGCCATAGAATTCAATGAACTTATCGGGAATTGAAACAGCAATCTTCCAGCTTGTAGCACAGTGTCCCTTATTTTTCTCTGTTAAGTAGCACTCAAAATATGTGCTGTGTAGTGACATTACATCGACATCAAAGATCATGTCATTTGTCTAATTTCATTAAGATACAGATACATCTGCTACTTAGAATATAAAACATGGATGGGACCCATATGCTTGAAACACTATATTGAACAATCCATGGCTTATGTTATACCAAATGTATGCATCACTGCTGTATCTGATGCACAGATAGTACAGGGGTGTGTTCCTTTATACTGATAACAAGGCATATCAGCTGCTTATGATCAGCATAATGTTGTGGTGCAAGCAACAAATATGTTGTCTGCATATGAAACAGAAGTATGATATAGATATTTACAACATGACTTGCTAGACCCTGCTGTTCTAAAATGAAATCACAAAAACATGTTATTTTTTTTATTAGAACAAAGGAAAATAAATATGGCCAAACTGTTATCACAGAGATGAGTGATAATTCATGAATAGTGACATACATACAGTGTCACATATAGAGCATTCAAAGTCGAGATTCGTGGTCTCAGATTCAGCTAGAATATTTTATGAATGACCAGTTGTTAAAAAACATTATCCGTGTTCTAATGATGTTCGCACATTCACTGCTGGTTCTAGAAGATAAACATGTTCATTCATATGGTGAACAGATTAATCTGAGAATGCAGATGGAAATTCTTGGGAAACTCAGCAGTCACCTCTAAGGAAGAAAGTAAAACAGCTTTCATTATTGAGTGCAAACATAAAAATTATATTTTAGAAGAATATAAGAGAGTTATTATTACCTTCTGTAACTGATAGGATAAATATGAAAACCATATATGCTAGTGTACAGAGTGGCAAAGCAAAACAGACCTATAATATTGATGCCACATTTTAATTGCAAACGAAATATGGAATCAGTATTGGCAAATGCATTAATTCACAATGTTTGAACATATTTTGGCCCATTTGCAGAAAAATCTATTCAGAAACGTGAGCTACAAAATGTATGCTGGTTACATAATTACGATGCAAGGTCAACTGTATGTTTTAACGTGTTTACGATGTGAAGTCAAATCTGCAGCTAGACTCAATGATTATTTCTATAGATTTAGTAGAGTTCTGCTTAATAACAGCTGAAAATGTGTTCAACAATTCAAATGAATGTTTTAATTTAGAGTTTTACTTAATAACAGCTGAAGATTTGTCCAACAATTCAAACGGACATTTTAATTGCAGGTTTTGATAAGGGATATTTAGCTGCTATATAGTATATTGAGTCACATTACACACATTCATGGCATATATTGTTTGATTTTATTTAAAATTATTCAAATATGAAAAAGAAGATTGGTGTAAGCCCCCTGTTAACAAATTGGCAGCACACACCTCAGCAGACCTGAACTTAATATGGTTTGCTTAACACCCAGGATTGCAGGTAAATACTTCCTCAATGCTCAAGATTCAGGCAGCTGACTGAATTCACCATAAGATGAGAACAAATCTGTTTGCAGTGTACTTATCAAGTTCTGTGGCCAATTTATGCCAAGCCCCAGAGATTCATGTCAGAGCAAAACTGTCCTGCAAGACAGTCATATCAAGAGGCAGACATAGGCAACTCTGAGTGCTGTAAGAAACTAATAAACAACAATTATAAGTTGTCAGCGTATAATAAGAACCAATTTATGCCAAGCCCCAGAGATTCATGTCAGAGCAAAACTGTCCTGCAAGACAGTCATATCAAGAGGCAGACATAGGCAACTCTGAGTGCTGTAAGAAGCTAATAAACATCAATTATAAGTTGTCAGTGTATAATAAGCACTTTATAGGGCCAGGATGGGATCAACTGATCCTGATCTGGGCTATGTAAATTTCTAAGACTTTTGCTCACAAACACTCCAACCCTGAAGACTAACAATATACTTATTAATGACTAATACTGGGAAAACTTGGTATGCTCTGCAGCAGGTACACAGTACCTACACCTGTTTCTTTGCCACCTGTTGCTGCCACGTCATACATCGTTCGATCCAAATGGGTACACGTCCATTAAGGAATCCGGCCAAGACCTTAAAATCACCTTTGTAAGATTTCTTATCAGACAGTTCAAGGATGACTCGAGTTGGTTCCTTTTTTGGTCGAAAAATGCAACGAAATGTAACAACTGGGTCACACGTGGAAGCTTGCTCTTTAAATTTCTTAAATAAAAAATCAGATATTATTTTCTCTTTCATGATAGTCACCATGTTCGCAGGAAGTTCCACTTTCTTGGGCACATGTTTACGTCCTGTCCATGTTTTGCAGTAACCAGAACAATGAATTTCTGTCACCCCCCCACAATCGAGCACATTCTCACCTATGTCTGACTGTCCTTCCAACTTCTGTATCTTACTGTTATGTTCAAATTCTTCAATCTGAACTTCAAATTTCATGATATCTTCAAATATTTCTATGAGGAATTTCAGAACTGACTTATACAATCCCTTTCTTAGTTCGTCTTCTGTGCTAGCAGAGCTTTCGTCTTGTGGTGAATCTAAGTTCTGTGGAAACTTACAGGTGAGGTACTTTTCAAGTGGTATTGTGATGTGACACAAGGGCAACTCAACAGGCTTGGTACTTTCATCAAACAATTTTTTCAGGAACGTTGGCCCTGCTGAATCTGTCGATGACAGTTCTTCATCACATGCCTTAGCAGCAGCCTCACAATATTTCTTGAAGTTCTCTAGAACTTTTGAAGACACTCCTGAAGTAACGTTATGTCTCAATTCAAATGCATCCTGAACACACATATCACAGTCCACCCTGAGTCCCACAGAATCTGAACCACAGGTAGACATATATTCTTTGTAATGTTTCATGGCTTCTGGTAATTCTTCTGGTGTGTGAAATACTGATTTTGGTACAGATGTGCCCACTAATGGGCATATTACATTCATCTGATAATCAAAGGTAGAAAAAAATTTGAAGAATCCACACAGCATTTCTGGTACAGACATTCTGTTACTGTTTTGTGGTGAAATATTTGTATTAATACTGCATTCCCAGCCATCAATGATAACTTTATTGTCCACACCTTCCTGTAATGTGGCAACAGGTGGGATAATTGGAACTTCTAACTGTTGTACATAGAACAATGCAATCATTATTAATGCATAGTTGCTGAGCTTGCATTGCCCAGAGAGATCATTCTTTTTAGCCCAATATTTTATTACAATTAAGAATGGTTTTAACCGTGGATCCAAGGATAAATAAAACTTAATCAGAGCACTGTTGTTAACACCAAGTGCATTCTTAAATGATAAGTCACAATTAATGTTTGTAGGTTTGTGAATAAACTTCACAATTGGAGTTTTAGCTTTTGGAATTGCAAAGACTTTGCTGAATAAATATGGCTTACGAAACAATTTTTTTGCATGGTTTACCACATTGTTCAGTGATTCTGGAACAGGTAAACTCACACTTCCTCCTTCCAGTTGGGTAGCTGCAACATCATCTGCAAAGAAAAAGAAAAGGTCACTTTATGTGACTTATGTCACTTAGCTGCAGCTAAGAAGAGAACACACATCACAAGACACAGTTTACACAGAAAATAAGAAAAACAACCCCGTAGTGAACGAACCACATACAAGTTTTAATTAAGACAAATAAGATGAATTATCTTAACAAGCTTTAGCGAGTGTAAATTTATCAAAGTTGACAAACACGGACTTTTTAAATGGTTGGTGAAAACATATGAAGGCAGGCAATGCAATAGATTGACGTAGTTGGGACACCTGATGATGGCACTGTGTTGCTGAAACATGTTGTGAAGTGACAAGTGAAGTTGTATGCACTACAAGACGGCCACTGTATACATATAATGCATGAAAATCAGTGCAATGGGACACTAAAATATAACATTATAACTTCTCCCATTCCTTCCCAATTCTCTCTGTTAATACACATGGTCAATCCAGTCCATTTTTTATGTTACTGCGGTGTGTTTACAAAGAATGGTTATTGCTGAGTTTGAGAAGTGTACATGAAACATGTCTTCATTTTGCTATATACCCCAATCCTGGTGCCATGAAAGCAACAGTCTATCCTTAAAGTCTGGCTTACCATAGATAACACTCAAACATGTTCTCAAAACCCTGAGAAATCTACTTACTTAGGTCCATGAAGACATCCAAGTCACTCCATTTAAAAGCAAGGCCTGTTACAGCAGAACCAAATGGATATGCCTTGCAGCCAGGAAAAGCAACAGAAAATGTGGATTCCAAGTGCCTACAAACCATTCCATATTTGCTATAGTCTGAGAGATGAATTTCATTTAATAATGCTGCAAACTGGACCTCAAAATTATCTTCACATAATGAAAGTGCAGTAGTTATTTTCACATGATCAAACTCTTCACTTGTTGCCTTCTGAGGACATGGACCTGTGTGAGGAATGATTCCAATATATTCAACAAAATGCACTACAACCTTGTAACAGGAGCATTAATACAACACTCAAATTGTACACACTGCTCAGGGATCTAATTACAAAACAGTATGGTTGACACTGATTATTTTCATTATTAAACTCATAATTTGAGAGTTCCAACAGACTGAGCTGAAGGTATGCCTTTCAGGCAAAATAGCTGGACAATATCATCCATTACTTCAGCATACATTTTATCTTCTGAAATGTAATGCCATGTAGTCCAGTCAAAGTCCACTAACACACTGAAGTAATGTACTGCCTCCATTTCAAGCTCAAAGAGCATGGACTTCTATTAAAATACACAGCGTTACATCCCTCAAAACAGTCACCACTATGAGAATCCCAAATACAACATCCTTTTTATTCACTGTTAACTTCAACAACATACTTCTCATCTACTGTTAAGAGAGAAGTTATGTTCTCACAGTTCTCACAAGGCATTTGCATCTCCTTGTTTTGTGCTCAGCCTCTACTGTCCAGCAGCTAAGTATTCATAATCACCAAAAGACTCATATACACAAAATTGATATACCCATTGTTTTCTTTTACAGGCATGAAACTGAATGAATAAAGGTTGAGGGTATTTCAGAACAATATTCTGGGAATATCTGGCCCTATGAAAAAGTTAGTAATAGGACAACAAAGAAAGGCAGCTACCCAGCTGTTTTGTAAACATTAAACAACACTTCCAAGAAAGACCTTCTCTCCCCAAAATAAGAATAATAAAGTGTAAAAAATCAGACATTTTACTTATTTATGCCATCTTTTGTCCCATGTGAAGGCAGGTTAGAATACCTCTGCCATAGCTCTGCGAGTCTTAATGGTGACAAAGAGTGAGCCTAGTGCATGAAGTATAACTGGACCAACCTATCACTGGGGGACATAATTACAGAGACCACATCATCCAGACCGGCTCTGGGGTCCACCCAACCTCCTACCCAATGAGTATGGGGCATGAAGCTGACCACTCACCTCCAACTAGTGCCAAGGTCAACACAGTGTGGATCTATACAACCACTCCCCCTTATGCCTTCATGGCATAGTGCTTAATTAGTTAAGCAGAGGGACAACTTCACCTTTGTTTTTACAGTAGTAAACCAGTCTCTAACCATCAGTTTGCATAGATAAACCTGTACCATCAACTCGAATGGTTTACTGGTTAAGGACAGGATTAGAAATACAATACCCAGCCTAACACGGATTGGTTTCTTCATACATAAAAATGTCAATGGTTTGTATATTGGTACTCACAAACATTCAAGACGAAACCCTTAGTTGGATATACATAATTAGATAAATAAGTAGGCCTACTGAAATATATGATTGACATTCCCACTGCAAACCTCCAGGCATACAAATCTTGAATTTAGTATCTTATTTAGATAAAGCAAGTTCATAATCCATCAATAAAACTCAATTTAGCTCATGCACTAGCATAATGAACAGGTGCACAGTTGGTCAAAAGACTGAATCCTAGTAGAGTCAAATATGTTACAGATTCTTGTTGTTGTTGCTATCATCATCATCATCATTATATCTAATTTTTGTATCAAACTGATAGCAACAACATGGGCAAGTGCTCATATCTATAACTATGACCTGAGTCTGACAGATGGGTACAGTGAAGGTGACTTCTCCAGGCAACATTAGACCACTGACCATTTAAACAGAGCTGCAAAGCCATATACTAAGCCTATCATATGAGACAAGACGTTAAAGATACAATTATCACATCTCATAGAGTTAATCCAAATAAATAAAAAAGATTGGAAATACAGTCAACTCTCAATTATCTGGGGGCGGATTAACCAGTTTGCGGCTTAACCGGGGCTACTGAGGCTTTTTTGAGGCTTACATGTTGTTTAATATTCATTCACTTTTGTTTCACATGGTGAGTTGTAACACTATTTTCGCACTAGTGTGAACCGAGCTCTGCATTCTTTGGTCCTGTTATGCTAACACGATGTTCTAGGGTAGGGGTGAAAGAATGCAAGGATTTGTGGAAAGTTTCAAGAACAGATACATCGCCCCAGTTAGTTTCTTTGTATCAATCTTCAAGTGCGTTAGCAAAATGTCAGGGTGTAAAAGGAAGCGTGTTGTGTTAAGTATTCAACAGAAAAAGGAAAATGCCGCGAAAAAGTAAACGACAATATTACATTTTTTTAAGTGTTAAGTGTGAATATTCGTAAAAAGTGTTGGATGTTGTTGAAGACTGTGATTGAAATAACTAATTCATACTTCAGTGTAATGTAAAAAAAGTATTAAATAGGCCATGAGATGACATAAAAATGAGGTTGAATAAATTTAAACACAGGTAGGCCTATAGCATTATGAAGGTACAGTATTACAGTACTACTTTCAATACAATTTGTCTTAACCGGGTTTTCGATTAATCGTGATTTCCATCCCCATCATTATCCCGGATAATCGATTGTTGAGTGTACATTATTTTAATTTACTGAGTTGTGCAATTTGCAATATCACATCATCATCACACCATTTTACCTTGATTCAGTGGGGCACGTATTTCCCGCTGTTTTACATGCAGAACGTGTCCTCTGTAATATAACTCTTTGGATAAGCACATCTGAGCAGATTGTCTAAAACACAGTAAAACCATGTCAACAGCGATAATCAAACACAGATATATTCCACCTAACAGTAAAGTCAGTATAAACTGTTCTTTTTAGCACAAACCTCTCAGAGAACTGAACAATAGCAAATTTGCTCTGACGATCATATGTGAGCTTCCTGATTTGTCCAAATTGTCTAAAAAAGGCCTTTAAGTGTTCCTGATTCACAGGACCACGAAAACCTGTAATAAAGAGTATTATATTTTTAATTCCTAACATCCAGTGACAAATGAAAACTGTCATATTTAAACAGAATGCAATATAATTAATTAATTCATTCATTCATTCGTGAATGTGACGCATTATCTTACATCCATCACCGCGACAACCGCTACAATAGGAACGGACATTTCCACGACAACGAATACGTGGAAATTGTGGAGTTCCCGCAGCGACAAATCGTAGCAACGAATTGTCGTTGAGTAACAACGGATGAGATGAGACATGTTACTGGTGTAATCTATAAGGAGCGTTCCCAAGAAAACGGATTGCTGAACACGTGAGCTCGAACCTTGGTGAGGGGTGTCCTCTATTTAGTCCACGTGTGCCTTATATAAAGGGCCTGGCCTCGAACAGAAGATTAGAGTATTGAGTACTGAGTATTGAGCCAGAGACAGTTGAGATCCAACCATGATCGAGGATAGTCGAGATGTCACGTTGAAGTATTTGGCCAGAAGTCAAGTGATACTGCAAGTGTTAATAATTGTAAGGTGTGTAAGTGTGAGTGTCCAATAAAGATTCACTAAATCTGAGACCCGCATGAAGTTATTTGTCGCATGACATACCCAACATGTGACAATATTATAAGAAAACATTTTGAAGAAGAAGAAACAGAAATTTGAAGTACTGTTTAATGTTTTCCTAATTCAAAACTCACTCTTTCACGGGGCTGACTGCAGGTTGAATCAAGTTTTCATTCTTAGCCTGAACAGATGCCCTTGAAGTATGACTAATCTCATGTAGCTGTACAGCTTCTACTACAATTGCATTCCAAACAGTTTCCGAGGTAGTTATTTCATTGTACATTTCCATAACTGTTGATAAGAAACAGATATTACGTACTGTTTCTAACACCGGTATTTATTATTCAAGTGACAGATTTACTACAGTTTACCTAGTATAATAAATTTTCAAAAATTCCACCGTGAACATCGATGCACTTTGCAACTCATGTGAAGACATGGAGTGATGCTCGTCTATACATTGTACTGTACAATGAGATAGCTCTATCTTGGAAACTGTTTGGAATAGGATAGACATACATATACACTCTTTTGCTTTGAATGACTGATACTATGACCTTACCTCCTGGGATGACCTGAATATATATGTAGTATATTTTGTGGCTGCCGGTCACTGTAGCTGAGCAGTCTAAGGCATGTACTGTCTTCGCTCACTTGGAAACCAGGATCGTGGGTTCGAAACCCACTCAGGGCATGGATGTTTAGTTTGTGTGTGTGCGTTTTTCTGTGTTTGTGAACAGGTAGAGGCCTTGTGACAAGCTGATCACACGCCCAAGGAGTCCTACTGAATGTGTGAGATCTAGAAAAACCGAAGTGAAGGGAGAAGTTCGTTGAGGCCGTAGTGCCAAGGGGAAAAAAAATATTTTGTGGCTTCTTTAAACGAGAATTTCCAAAGAACAAAGTGTTTGTAACAAGTCTTGCTTCAAGTTGGAAAAAATACTTTCTGAAACATATTACATACCACAGATTTCAAAAACACAACCATACAAGTGATCTTCAAGACTGAAAGTTGGATGCAGTTCCATACAAAACAAAGAACACTACATGGGCAACTATAAGAACAGATGAAAGTGCTGAAAGGGTTTGAGAGTTAATTACTCAATGTTTATAAATCAGTCAGCTTTCAAAGCAAACTCCTAGCAACTACTCATACATAGCATTTTTTCTGTTGCAATGCTTCCCATGTTTTCAGTGCCACATTTCTAATACTTCCCATGTGCACCAACTTTGCACTGTTTAAGAACTGATGTTTCCATATCGTGTTACTTTCAGACACTTACATCAGTTGTTGCATTCTGTTTGGAGAATACAGATAAAAATTATTAGACCTTCTTAACAACTTGCTCAAGATTCATATATTTCTCATTACTTATTTGTCTTAACAAGCTTAAATTTAATCTGTCTGCAACAGGTTGCCCATCAATTATGATTCTGATTTATTTAATGTATCAGTTCACTGTCTGCATCAACAAAACGATACCAGTCATCTGCATAAACCCCAAACTGTAGTCACTTGTCTCAATTGTCCACAGCATGCACTAATTGTGCATGGAAGGCTAAGGTGTGAGGATGTTTGTCTCTTTAAGTCCCATGTGTGTTTCCTGTAGAACATTACCTAGCCTGTCAGGCTGACTTTCTGCATGAATTTCCTGAGTTCACTGTGCCAGATAAACCAAAATATTTCTTTTATAAAATCAGAATTGTATCATCACTGGGTTCTTCAAATTTTTTCATGACCCTGTATTTCCAAATAAGATTCAGGATTCAAGCATCAGTCTCCCTGGTTCAGCGGTAGCAAACTTGTTGGGCATATGGATATTCAACCAATGGCTACCGTGTCACTACAGAATACAGCGAGGTATGCCTTGACCTACAGCCGCGGGAAGTTCAACCACTTATTGGCACATGAACCCCAGAGATGGGAGCAGATGAAGAGACCAAAATGTTGGTATTTTATTAATCCCCATCTGGCCTATAGCCCAAGAAAATTTCAGTGAATTATGTGGCCATGTTAAGATACCAGTCATATAATGCTATTTGTGTACATGTACATAAAAGAAACAAAGTAAAATACTGAACAAACCCTTAACATATATTCCTCTATCTTCTGCATCTCTCTTTTGCTGCAGCAACAAAACTCCTCTTTGGTGTTTCTTACCCTGGAGATGTGATTCCCAACACACATTTGGCATATCAACTTTACAAATTTCACACTTCAAAGGATTCTCCATTGTTGTTATTTCTAGTTCTTAGACTGCAACAATGAAACAAACATTGTTACCGTTGGCAAGGAATAGGAGTAAATTCTTAAGTTAGAGCAGTATTACTGTGGGATTTTATGCCTCAACAAAGCTAAGACTTTCATACCTTTGGGCTTTTGAAGAAAGTACTCAGGGGATGCCAATTTGAGCCAGATGCTGTGTTAGATCCTTGGAATTTATAAGACTAGTAGGTTTTATATGGGATTGTAGTGTAACATTAGTTAGCAAGTGTAGCAACAGGACATGAGATGTTTGCTGCAGACAGGATGGAAGAAAGGAGGAGAGATCCTGTACCTAGGTCCTCTCTCTCTTTCTCGTCCATAAGTTGTAAGGTTTAAATGACAAATCAGTGTCTTCACTTGACAGAAACTAACTTTAAATACTTGTCATCTAGTGTGCAGTAAAGCATTTCAAACAGAATTCTGTTACCCATACATGAATTAATTCAATGCTCTCTCAGATAACAACATAGCTGGGTGAATTGAGATATAACAGCCGAAGAGCAGTGAAGTACTGAAAATTTCTGCACAAAATGCAATGCATGTTAAAAAGTCACAAAAATGAAAATAAGGACTACATATAGCAGAATAAATCATCTATGTGCAATCATATGATTTGCAGATGAAACGCAGAACTTTCAGAAGCTCTTAATTATTGATTGCAGCTTCAAATAATAATTTAAATGTTGCAACCATCTACAAAATTTCAGTTCCATAACCACAATAAAAACAGGTGAAGCAGATATACAGTTACTAGATTCATGGAAGCTTCTACAAAAACCCCATATTGCAAAAAAGGTTTACTTTTATTCCTCACTAAATGACAAAGTCTATCATTTATATGGATTAACATTTAACCCATCATTTGTTTTTAGAAGGTATCTTGTACACTGTTTCATAAATCTTGGATAAGCTATCCATGTAACAGGCCATGGAGGCCCATAGGGTTGAGATGATGAGGATCCTACATTTTCTAGACAATCGGCTCACAGATGGCAGTAAGGTAAGCCTTACCCATCACCTGCCCTTTACTGGGGGGGAAGATTCCTGGTACTCATTTCTGTTAGAGGCTGAGTCGCCCCCTGGGCCATAGTGCAGCTGGAAGGATTAGATCAACTGATAAAAATCCAAATCAATGGGACTCAAACCCACGACCTTCCGGTTTGTAGCATAGTGCCTCAACCAACTATGGTACCGCATGCCCCAAAAACCTGGATAAGACACATCATAAATGAATCTATGTGAATTCTCTATGCAGTCCAGTTCACATGTGTTGCATATTCAAAATTTTTGTATAACAGGGAATTTTATGCCTGTTACGTTACTTGCATTGACTGAATAACATCTGAAACACAGTACACAAAATGAAGTAGATGTTTACACCTAGATTCTAAAGGGTTCTGACAACAGTGCATAACAACCAGGATTAGAAGGTTTTCAGAATTTGCCCATTGTCTTCTATTCTAAAAAAACACAACTAGATGTCTCCCACCCATCACTTCAGGATGGAAACAGATCCATTTCCAAACACTGTATTCTTCTGTTTTTTTTTTTTTTTTAGATATAAGATGATGGACAAAATCCAAAAACCCAGAAATACTGTGTAGATGTTTATAGTTTTAGCAATTATAAGACAAACATTTCTTTTTGATAGAAAGAATAAGACTTAATGAGTGTACATTGCAAGTGTTTCTTTCTTAACAACATCTACCAACTGTAGAGATTATTTCGTATTAGCTGAGAAATGATGAGACAATTTTGGACCATGAATTGGGCATCTTGTGAAAAAATAAAGTTATTCTTTCTTACTTTCAAGGCACGACTGCACCATGTTTTAGTGGGATTTATGACCAACAAGTACATGGAAAATGTAATTAGGCTGTACACACTGTCAACCATCAGACATTTACATAATGCAAAATTTCAAAATACTTACCAGTACTGTCTTCCAAGAATATCACAATGTTTCTCAAACAACTATGCAAGTATGACTTTTCCTGCAAATCAAGACAAAACATACGTGAATCTAATGCTGTACGTATACAGTGAGTTTATTGTGAGCACAGTTGCTATCTGTTGTACCTTTCAGGTGGGAGCACTGAATTTTCCTTCTGTGATGTCAGACCTTCTGAGATTCAGACTGCAAGCTGAACCATAACCTACAGCCTAAACACATTACAAATAAAACCAAGTGTGTGTTTCCAGAGAAAATATTTCACTAGACTACTAGTATTATTCTAATTCAGCAAAAAATTATGGTAAAATCTGAGCACAAGAAAGCCTCATGCAGGTCTGCAATAAACAGATTAGCTAGCCAAGTATGAGACAACTGGGTCCACAGTAAACATCAACAAAAGCGGCCTCCGTAGTCTAGGGGAAACGTTCCCACCTCATGACTCAAGGTACGCGGGTTGAAACCCGGTGGAGGTCGTGGAATTTTTAAGGGCAGAAAATATTCAGGGAACAAGTCCTCCGGGAGGGACTTTAAGCCGTGGGTCCCGTGTCGTAGATTTAAGGCACGTAAAAGAACCTCATGTCTCTAGGAGACCTCTGAGCTAAATTAGGCAAATTTTCCCGCCCAAGTAGTTTCCAATGCCTCTGGTAGATGGGGAAAGTATTAGGTACCACTGCCAGATGAGGACCGACCTCGCTCACAGAAAGGGACTAATTATCAGATACCATTGCCAGTAGAGGGCCAACCTCGCTGGCAGCAAGGGGCTGATAACAGCACCAGTACCGGTAGGGTATGGCGACAGTAGAAATTAAAGGGGGATGCACAATGGACCAATAACTGGTCTATGTTCATGGGGAAACCCACCTCCTCCAACAGTGAATGAATGAATGAATGAAACATCAACAAGAGCCAACTCACAAATTCACAAAACTAAGTCAAATCTGTGCATAAACTGATGATGTAATAATTACCAGAACAAAAAATGAATTGCAGAGAGTATATCTGACTTCAGAAAAGGAAGCAATCAGCTTGGTCTTTTTACAAACATACCAAAAACAAAGTAAATGCACTTTAATAAACTAAACATGCATATATAAGAGAGAGGAAGTTCTGTATTGGAGACAAAGAATTTGAAATGGTACAGAAATTTAAATATCTAGGTGCACTAACAGATGAGAAAAATAATATAACACACACCACACAAGAAAGAATACAACCTGGCAATAAGGCATATTATACCAACCTACAGTTACTAAACAGGAATATGAAAATGAAAATACATAAAACATTAATACGTCCTGTAGTAACATATAAAAATGAGACACGGGTGCTAAAGAAAGAGGATGAAAATAATTTAAGAAGATCTGAAAGAAAAATTAGTATGAAAATATATGGGCCAATGAAACAAGAAGAGCAGTGGAGAATTAGAACAATGAAGAAAGAAGATATCGTTAGATTTATAAAGGCAAGAAGAATCAACTGGCTTGGACACATAGGAGGAATGGATGTTAACAGAATGCCAGGGAAAATCTTGTATGAGAAGATCTACACTAAAAGAGTAAGAGGCAGACCAAAACTGAGCTGGTTTGATGATGTCAGAGAAGACTTTAGGATACTGAAAGATAAAGATTGGAGATCCACTGCGATGGACAGAGATGCTTGGAGACTGTTGGTGCAGGAGGCCAAGGCCCACAAAGGGCTGTAGAGTCAGTTGGTAGTGGTAGAAACTCACGCACACAAGAAACCTTATTCTCAAAATATTACAAATGAAATCAGGTTACGGCAGATGTTGGAAATGCTTCTATTGTTCTGCACACGTTATTGACACCCCATGAACAGTTTACAGTCACACATCACATTCGTCTTGAGAAATGGAGAACATTTCATTTCTGATATTTTCTTTCAGTTCTACAATTGTGCGATGGTTTGATACATAAACTTTTCTCCTGCACAGTAGAAAAACTCAAACTCAAAAACTCAAAAAAGGAGACACTCAAATAATTCACATATTGATAAGAACCCAATCTTTGTCACAATTCTGAACACAATCCCCTAACACAACACCTAACAAAATATTAGCCATCCATCTTTCATCCAGTTGAAACACAGCTAACATGAACTACACTATAATACAAAATACTTAACAGCCAGTCCATTAGAGACCATAAATTTGATATACCACATGCTTATATTCTTTACCATTTCCTTTTACAGTTTCAAAACATGTCTTTGAACGAAGGTACCCCTCTGCTAACAGTTCAACTACCACATAGCATCTACATGTTGGAGCTGCTATCTAAAATGAACAAGAAAATTATTGAGACTGCATGAACATCCAAAATCACACAAATGTTGGATTTCTGGATCTTGCTGCAGTGACTATAAAATGTAAAGTTTTGTTCTTATAATACCAGGTAGTATGAAGAAAGCCCAACGTTTCAGAGGAATATTTAACTTCCATCTTCAGTATCAAAGATTATGCCAACCATGCAAACAGCAGAAACATGCAGCAAGCTTACTCTTCAACCCTAAAGATGGAAAAACTGACTTGTCTAATTGTACATAATGTAATAGTTATGGATGTTAAATCAATCAATCAATCAATCAATCCTCTGATTTCTCAGATTTTCTCCAAAATACAAGGCATTACAACCCTGAAGACCATACTCTTCATTTCTGAAAAGCTTCAGTGTAGTGTCATGAATACTTTAAGCCCTCACAGTTCTTCTGTTTTCAGACTTTCATAATGTTTAATGATATGGAACTATTTTCCTTTTGTATGTTTAACTTCTACATACAGATGAACAAGAAATCAACTTACATAATATCAGTACCTCATACTTTGCTACAACAACCTACAACTATTAAATCATTTTCTCTATTTTCAATTTTTAATTGCTGCCTAATGACCATGAACTGCGTAGCACTCCCAGTGCACTGTAAATTCAGTCATGGATCCAGGAACAGTGTTAATTGATCTTTTGTAGTAATGACTTCGGACCTTGGAACCTGTGCATTGACCTCCCACTGAATTATGGCTCGTTATAATTGAAATATGTAGTGGAAAGTAAAAGCTACTGAGATATAGATACCATAATAATCTGCGTGATGGATGTATAACTGTACACCGTATTAAACTATGTACAGTACAAAATATTCTACTGAGTATAACCTTTCAGTCTTGTCTCACTAATACAAATCAGTACCAAATCTGGACTAATCTTCCACTCATTCAGTACACACTAGTCAGCTTTACTGTAGATATTTCTGTTTTGGGAGCTGGCTCAATGTTGTAAAGATCTGAATACATCTGAATTTGGTTCATTTCACAGACGTCTGACATAATACTCTCACGTTATGCTTGCCATCCAAAACTTGTAAATACAGACAAAAACAAGACTGTTAAATCTGTTGCTTACTTGTAGATGCCTCTATAACTTTTAAGAAGTATTTTGGCTTAATATAGCCATTGCCATCTCCTGGGCTTAATATAACATTATTGACAGATCTATAGAATGGAATTCCATCTGAAACACAAACAATTCCGCTGTTATTCAGAAATTATCAGTGCGAACATCTGCCTCCAAATTACACCTTTTTAACTTTCATCATACTACTTCCTGTTCATAACATTACAGCCTTATTTAGGATTAAATCTTTCATTCACTTTCTGTGTATAAGCGTTTCTTTTGTTAACATCATGTCTTATTTTTGTGCTTAATTTAACAATGCTGTCTGAACCTCAGACAATGTAAGGTCAAGTGGCAGGTCAATTAGAGAATAAAGAACAAGAAATGACTTGGGAGGAAGTGTAATAGCGTTGACGCACAATTTGTCTCGGGTGCTAATGGTGAACCCAACACTCATCACCTGTGACAATTCGGGCTAGCATATCGTGTCCATTGTGGTAGTGACTGAGATGCTGTAATACCAGACCCTTTCTTTCCATTTTGTGTTGTGGAGTGAGCATGCGCAGCACCCATCATGCACAGACTTTGTGAAAACTTAACCTGTAGGTAGGTTACGAGGTAGGCCATGCCGTGTGAACACGCCTGGTTACAAGAGCAGCCCAAAGAATTTTATGCTGCTGTTTTTCAGGGACTTGTGAAACAAGGGGACAAGTGCCTCATTGTACAGGGAGATTATGTTGAGAAATAAAAGCATTTTTCAAATCAGTACTCTTACTTGTTTCAGTTCTATATCCATTTGTAACTTACTTATTGACTTACCCTCATATATATAGAAACTTCACATATGTCAGGATGCAATAATGTGACGATAGTCCTCATTGTGCTAATTGCTAAATATTTACCTATTAAAGCCCTTTCAGCATCAATGTAGATGTACAACTGACATGATGAACGCATGCCACTGATAACCTGTGAACCACCCGCTTCACCAGGACTGAAATGAATATGGAGCCTGTTCATTCGGCTCAGACCCTCTGTCTTAATTTTTGTCCAATTTTTAAAGTAAGTTCCATGAATAACAGTTGGAATTTCAGATGCACAAAAAATAGGAATTAAATCAGTATCCTGAACAATCTGAAAAGAATAATACACAGAAAGTCAGTTCCCATTTTTGTTAGCGGTTGTTTCTGTTTTATAAACTATGAGATTTCAGGCCTGACAGAAAACATTAACATTTAAATTCATGCAGAGTTTTACTAGCCGCTTCATATGGATGTAAAACCAGACTCATTTTTACCAAATGCATTCTTGTAAACTATGACAATCTGAAAATAACAAAAATCTTAACTTGCAATCAAATATATGTACAGAAGTTACTTAGAAACTGTAAGAGTAATTACATCAAGATGTGAAGGGCATACAGTTCAAATAGAGGAAATAAGTAAGTCACACAAAATTTTGGGGAAGGAAACCTCTCTCTGGGGTAGCAGTCACTTGGAAGACAAGAAGCAGAAGAGGGAATAATATTAATGTGGTTTTGGGGAAACAGGTTTTGAGGATAGAAAGTGGCTCAAGTGGACAAGGATTTTGCCAAATGGCTCTAACATCGAAGCAATGAACTTTCACACTCAATCAT